TAGTTTCAAACTCTTAAATACCTGCCTTTCTATAAGAATACCTGCATATTATCATCATTTATAGGGACATGAATATTCTTTTTGGGGAGGAATACATATTTTATAAGTAACAGGATTTAAATTGGTAAAACTGAGGTTGTCTTATCTCCTCCAATTCCCTGTATCCAGTGTCTGAAGTCCTGCTTGGGTTAAAAGTACCAAGAGATTTAGAAAGGTATTATTGTAGTAGGGAGATACATACGAATAATCATGATACTTTGTTTATAATAAAGGCATGTACCAAATATCTCAGGGGCAGGGAAGAGAAGAAGGAATTCCGCCCATCAGAACATGAAAACTATTTGGACTGGGTCCTGAAGAATAAGGCTGACAGGGATGGGGGAAGGGCACTACAGGCAAAGGAAGGCACATGGGCAATGTGCCTTTCTGAACAATGTCAGGTAGGACACAAGGTGTGTGGGAAGGACAGTTAAGAGGTTGGGATCAGGCCGTAAAAGGTTGTATGACTGATGCTGTATCTTATCTGGATCCAATGGGCCAGTTGTTTTCAAACTATTCTTCTTAGAGCCCAAAGAACTTGGTTAGTTTGAAAACCACAGCTGAGGTCTGAAGGATCCATTCATTTATTAATTCAGTAAGTATTTATTGGGTGACAATTATATGCAGCTACCACTCTTGGCACTGGTGATAAGACATAAAAACAAACAACTATATATATACATATATATATATATAGTTGTGTTTTTTTTACCATAAAAGAGTTAGATCTCTGACTTTATGGAACTTACATTTTAACAGGGAGAGAGTCAAAAATTAAAAAAAAAAAATTAAATGGGTTAGAAGGTAACAAGTACTATGGAAAAAAAGAAAAGCAGGTAGGGAGTAGGGAGAAATGTGCTCACCAAAAAAGGTAATTGACTAATGATGAAAAGACTAAAAAACGAAAAGCCTAACTGACTAAAGATTTGAAGCGTTCTAGGGAAAAAGCCACGCAGGTATGGGAAGGAAGAGCAGTCCAGGCAGCGGTGTCAGCAAGTGCCAAGGGCTTCTAAGCGCTAACACTAGCAGGAGAGTTGAAAAATTAGACCTCATAGGAGCCGCTGCAGTTGCCCGGGAAAAGGCTAAATTGTTCAGTTTTTACATGGAATGACTTGGGCATACACAGATGATCCTATCTCTCCTTTTCCGAAAATAAAATTTTCAGAGAAAGCTGTTTCTATAATTGCCTTCTCAAAGATTGCTATTCTCTCAAGATATTCCAATGAAAGCAATACTTCTACCGAGGCAAGAAATATAAGTACATGGAAACAACTTGTGTTGTGTTGTCAGTGTCTTATACATTGACAAGTGCAAGGAGGCTGTAAGAAATGTGCCCAATGACAACATATTTTGCAGTTTCCCATACCTGAATGAAACGACTTTTCACTTGTAATCTTTAAAATTTCCATTTTACATTAGAATGTAAAAGAGTGCCATCTCAGGTAAAGTCCGGTCTTCACTTCCCATTTCTAGCACACTTTTCTACGCTGTTCATTGTTATTAAACAAAATTAATAGTACTGCTTACCAGTCTCATACTTGCGCTACTGGCAGGAATTAAATTGTTAAACTTTCCTGAGGGACAATTTAACATGATGTTCAAAAGCCTTAACAATATTTATACCCTTAGAGCTAAAAATTCTATGTCTACGAATTATGTCTAACTATATTTCAATATGATATATATCCCATTTTTATTATAAATGGGATATATATTTAAATTTAGCTAAATCATTTAAGTATTATTTATAATAGTGAAAAAGAAACCAGAATAAACAAGTATTTCACAATAGGAGCTGACAAAATAATTAACAGAAAATACTTTTCTATGAAGACTCAACCCTCACAGTTGCAATCAACACAGCTCACTACCGGCAGTCCTTCCTCCGTGGTCAACTCTGGCTCTTCCCCTTTTGCACAACTTCTAAAACTGTTGGCTCACCTTGTCCTGGGCTCTAGCTCTAGGCCCCTTCTCTTACCTAGTGCCATGCTGCAGGTGATCCTATCTACTGTTAATAGGACTTGGTGATTTCCAAAATACATCCCAATTGTCAACTTTCCCCCATCTCTAGTACCACATCCTTGTCTAAGCCACACTTCATTTCTCATCCAATCTCATTGTGTTCCTGACCCCCTATAATCAATTATCCACAAACAAACCAGACTTTCTTTCTCGCTTGCTTAAAAACCCTCTTGGGAGTTTCCCCTTGAACTTCAAACAAAGTCCAAACTCCTAATCATGGCCCATAATGTTCTACATAACTGGTCGCTGGCTCCCCAATTTCATCTTACACAAATCTCCTACAACCACGAGTCCTCCTCCAGTTCCTTCAACATGCCAAGCTCCTTCCTCCTATCTTAAGGCCTTTCAATGTGTCTGGAATAATCTTGGTTTAAGCTGGCTCCTTATTCACATTTCTGCTTAAATGCTTCCTCTTCAGAAGCCTTCTCTGACCATCTAGTCTAAAAGAGACACCATCATATCAACCGTATTTTAATTCTGTGCATGGCACACATAACCACCTGATACACATTTCCTTATATGTTTTATATTTCCTTTCTTGGGGGTCCACATTCTCATCCTAGCATATTAAGCTCCACAACAGCAAAGGCCTGGACTTGTTCACTATTATGTCCACAAAACCTGGCCTGAAGCAGGAATTCTACAAATATTTTTGAATGAATATTGTGGAACCATTAAAAAATTATGCAGTAAAAAAAAATGATCTAGAAAAATTCTTATGGTATATCAAAAAAGCAGAATGCACAAAATATGGTGCATATTCTGTAATATGCACAAAATATAACAGAAAGGTTCACAAGATGTTGATAGAGGCTATCTCTGAATCACAAAATTAATGGGTTTTTAGTTTTTTTTGTTGATGTGTATTTTCTGAATTCATTACAATGGAGTCCTTTGTATGAATTAAGAAACAAAATGTAACATTTATATATTTTTAAAAATTATTGCTTACCTTCAAAAAAGGAATGACTTCTTTCATAATTGCTTTAATTTGCCGGTCCAGCTGCTGAGTATCAATTCTAGGACATGGAACGGTAGAAATTTCACTTATAGGTTGTTGTGAACTATGATTTTCAATAATAGCCGTTTCTATTTTTAAAAGAAAATGATGTATTAGCAAAATAAAGTCTGTGACGTTATACATATGCATTTATGCAAAATTCTAAATATTAAATTATGATATATGCTAAAATAATACATAAAGAAACATCTATGTAGTTTTAACACCCCTACTAATTATAAGAAAGTGGTTAAAAATCACTATTATATGTTAGATGGGGCTTTTAATTTTTATATATGGAGCTATGATTTTTACTGTTAATGAATTCAAGAACACACATACCTTCTAAATTATTAACAGTTGTGGCAGCAGCACCATCTTCATCCTCAATAATCCTGCAGGTACATCTTACATTTGTGTTACTTTCAGCCTCAATCTTCATACGCTCATATTCCCTCATTCTGGCTAGTGCTTGGTCTAAGTGAATCACAGTGTTACCTGCATGTGGAATAGAAACATTTCTAAAGATATAAAAGCAAATTTTTTCATGTATTCCTCAAATTTAATAAAAAAATAACTTTTGAACATAAGGAAGAAAACTAGCTTTACCAAGTTCCAGATATTAGCTGGGATTATCACATTTATTTATTTAATCCTTGAAATAACCCTATAAAGTAGATAACACCCTCATTTTCTAAGATGATAAAAAATTCTGCTTACCTAGATCATCTGTTGCAAAAGGCTCAAAATTTGAAGATGTAGACAGGACACTAGCATTATCAGCATCATTTTGCTCACTTATTTTATGTGTTTCTCTCTCAAAGTTCTTCTCAAATGTTTCCTAAGTTATAGGTTTAAAAACAAATAAAAATCACTAATATTTCTTTTAAAAAGTTTATGGCTATATTAAAACTTTAACATAGAAACTTAAGCATTTACATAAAACTATACAGATAAAATTGTGATATAATCAAAGTTATAACACATTGAATACAGAATCACAGAGAACATTAAAATACTAAGTAACCTTGCAGAACACTTGTCATTATGTAGATAAAAATATACAGAACCAGTTACTGATTAAATTCTAACTTGGAAAAGTTAATATTTTAAATTATTTCTATATCCTCAGAGAAATTCTCTTATCTCCAAACCCTAAAAATGCCTAGTACCTAAGATATCTGGTTGTCTCATATCAGAAGGAAAATATGACCGCATCATTCATATTTTTAAAATTTGACTTTACTAAAATATAATTTACATACAACAATGCACCCATTAAATATACAATTTGATGAGTTTTGAAAAATATATGCACCATGTAACCACCTTCCCTAAAGTCTATTTTCATCGGCCCAGAAAAGTTCCTCCATAACCCCCTCTGCAGTCAACCTCTACTACTCTCCACTCATGTCATTTCTATCACCACAGATGAGTTTTGATGGCTCTGCAGCTTCATATAAATGGAACTATTCAGTATGTATTCTTCAGTATCTGGCTTCTTTCATTCAGTATGTTTCTGAAATTAATCCATGTTGTTGTGTTTCAGAAGTTCATTATTTTTTTAATGGCTGAATAGTATTCCATTGTGTGTAAATACCAATTTGTTTATCCATCTCTGTTGATGTTCCAGCTTGAGGCTATCATGACTAAAGATTCTATGAACATTAATGTACAAGTATTTTTGTGGACATGTTTTCCTTTCTCTTGGATAAGTACCTAGAAGAGAAATTGCTGGGTCACATGCCAAGTTTATGTCTAACTGTATAAGAAACAGACAAACTGCTTTCCGAAGTGGTTGTACAATTTTATAATTTCACCAGCAATGTACAAGTTCCAAATGCTTTATATTCACACCAGCACTTATTATCAATCTTTAATTTCAGCCTTTCTAGTAGGTGTAAGGGAGTATCTCATGTGGTTTTAATTTGCATACTGACCATTTATATATCGTCTTCCACAAAGCACCTGTCCAAATCTCTGGCTTATTTTTTACTGAGTTGTTTACCTTACAATTGACTTGTAAAATTCTTTAGTCTGAATTTGTCATTTATATAGTCATTTGTCAGATATAGGCGCTGAGATTATTTTCTCCTAATGGCAACTTTTGAAAAGCAGAATTTATCAATCTTTTCTCTTATATTTAGTGCTTTCTGTGTCCTAAGAAATTTTTGTATATGTCAAAATCATGAAAATTCTCTTGTTTTCTTTGGGAAATTTTATATTATAGTTTTAGCTTTTTCAGGACTTTAAGTAATTTCAAATTAATTTTTGTGTGCAGTGTCACTGGAGGGGTCTCACTTTTATTTTGACTGAAACTCATTTCACAATTGTATTCTTTTTCCTAGCTATTGATCTTTTAAAATTTTCTCTTAAATTATGTAATGAAAGGTTTGCTCTCTGAATAAATTCATGAATTAAGGAACATGTTTCACAAAATAAAACAATTTTGTTGCTCCTTCGTCAGACTTGACAGATGTGTTTTTGCTATTTTTATAGCACCTGGAATAGAAAATACAAAATGCTTCTTCCTCTTCCTAAACCTCAATTGCTCATCTTCCTTCACTTGTAACTCCCAGATGCCTACTTTCACTTCTCTCTTTCCTGGGCATGAAGACTTCTTTACATGCTCTGGAAATATGTGTATAAAAGCTCCATACATTAAACTCAAAGGATGTCGGCCTAAAAACATGGAGAATGAGACTCTGTATGTCCAATATTGTAACCACTAGCCATGTAGCTTTTCAAATTAAATTTAAAATTTAGTTCCGATCTCATTAGCCACATTTCAAGTGCTCGATAGCCACATGTTGCTAACGGCTACTGTATTAGACAATGCAGATGTAAAACATTTCCATCACTGTAGAAAGTTCTACTGGACAGCACTGCTCTAGATCTATGGGTGTGAACAATGGATGTTGTGCTGTTTATAATTAAATGGCGTTAATAAACAGAAGATGTGGACATTAATGCTAAATTTAAGTCTTGGATGAAAAATTAAAGAACTGATTTAGTTATTTAAAAGTAATACTAAGTATAGTTATTTATGCCATGTCCCTATAAATATGGACCTATATATATTTTGAAACGTTTACTCCCAATGTGATAGTATTAGGAGATGGGGCCTTTGGGAGGCAATCAGGTTTAGATGAGGTCATGGGGCTGAAGCCCCCATGATGGCGTTAGTGCCCTTATAAAGAGAGGAAGAGACACTAGAGTTTTTTCTCACTGCCATGTAAAGACACAGGGAGAAGGTGGCCATCTCCAAGCCGAGAAGAAGGACCTCATCACGAAGCAAATCTGCTGACAGCGAGATCTTGGGCTTCCTGGCCTCCAGACCCATGAGAAATCAATGTCTAGTTGTTTAAGCCATCGATAGTACTCTGTTTACCAGCCTGAGCTAAGATACCTTCTTATTAAGAAGTCCAGTCTCTTTAAACTTTATTTAACTCTAAAACCTGCCAAGTTAACTTTACCATAAATTATAGTTTAATTTTCAAAATCTACTATTGATGGTGCACACCACTGTGCTCAAATCTTTTAAAATAATTGGAAGTAATGCTACCTATATAAAATTTGGATAAAAAGGGAGGTACTGGAGTTAAGAATATAAAATTACTGAAAAAGATTTCTAAGAACACACACTCCTCATGCTCTTGGTAAGTTATTTCAATGACTAATGAACTTTAATGTAACTTAGTATCTCCTATTTTTTTATGTATACAGCTGGACCACTTTCCATTTCCCACAAAAAGTAGAATACAATTTTCAATTAGTCATAATAACAACTAATCCCAAGTAGCAATTATTTACATTAATTTATATTTGGCATTGTAAAGTCAATTAAAACCATGTAGTTTTTAGACACAGGTTTATGTTTATAGTAGTTTAGGATTTGGAGCATGGTGGAGAATGATTTTAAGCAGAAAAATGTCTTGGTGAAGTACTGTTTTAAACATGAGTATAAGTTAAAGAGCAAAAATCCAGAAAAAGTCCTCAATAAAAAATTTAAGTATAGAAGAGACAAGACGGTCTTTTGAGAAAACACTATCTTTCCAGAAAAAAAAAATGTTATCATATCAACAATGGTCTGAAACATAGTAATATGCTTTCAACTCTATGCTTATAGCAGGTATTTGCTAATCAATTCTGGTGCTGTTATCCATGGGGATCCAGGTGCTAGAGTGGCAGAAAAAAGAACATAACTGGCCATCCCAAGACCACATATAATCTTTCACAACAGAATCAAGGTCTGAACCTTTAAATAGGTGACTTCCAAATACCTAGCATGTTAGCTCCTCAGGGTCCTAGTAGTCTGCCATTTAGTCATTTAATAGCGCCCATCTAGCACTAGGTCCTACCTGCTAGGTAGGTGCTATTGGGAGGACATAGCTTATTGAAAATATACCATTTTCCTCACTGCTCTTTTCTGTTTCCATGTCCTTTTCACTTTATTAAATTTTTTCTTCATCAATTTTAAATTAAATTACATTTTTGTCATGGATTCCTTTATTTTGCCTAGGCTTCTCTTTAACCCAAACATCCAACGTATGTTGTATTTATTTATTCAAGGGTTCTTACTGTTATCTGATTGCTGTCTGATCTACTGAACGTTTTTTTTTTTAAGATTTTATTGGGGAAGTGGGGGAGGGGAACAGCGCTGGGGAATCTGGGGAAGGGGAACAGACAAGTTGCTGTCTTTTTGTTATTCAGTCTAGTTGTGGAGGACGTTGCTTCACTGGCCCATGTTGGTGTTATCATTGCGCTCTTTCTGGGTGAGGCAGATCGGTCGCCGGCCTCTGGAAGGCCGCTCATGGAAGCTCTTGGCAGCTCACACCAGCTGCCAGCCGCTCACGCTGACTGCCAGCCACACACGGTAGCCCATGGCAACCCACTGCAGCAGGGGCTGCAGCCTACACTGTTGCCGGCGACTCACAGCAGCCCAGCTCCAGGTCGAGCTGTTGTTCAGCATCTTAGCTGTAGAGGGCAGTGTCACTGGCCCTCATGTGGAATCCGAACCAGGGCCCTGCTGCACAGAGCTGGCGTCCCAAGCCAGCTCTTAACCAATGCACAACTTGGCTGGCCCTGATTTACTGAACGACTGAACGTCTTGAATGAACACAACAAATTTTGCCAAATGTCTGTAATGAGTCAACTCCTATGCTGGTCAACAGAGATACAAATATTGCTCTTTTAGACCTTATAATCTATAATTCACACGTAACGTTGGATGTTTGCTGCTGCATTTTGATTAACTTTTATACATCATCTCAAAGTAATGAATTAAACCCAGCTTTTTAAAAAAGGCTAAAAACCAAATATATTAAGTGTACTCATAATTTATAAAACCAATTTAACTTTTGTTTACTGCATTCTGAAATTATGTCTAGGTTTCATTAATCATTATTAGCTTACATCATCAGTAGTAGCAAGGCTTTCACTGGGAGTAAGTTCTGAGTTTGATGCTATCCAAGTACCAGAATTCACTGATTTTACATTTTCCCCTTCTTTTACATGGTTCTCGGAAATATGTCTGGATACTATGTCCTAAATAAGGAAATAAGGTATTTATGTAAAACATATATATTTAATCACAAATTAAAAAGAAGCAGATAGAAGAACAAATGCAATACTCTTCATCTCACAGGTTAACTGTGAGGAATAACACTAAAGATAAAACACCGAAAAATTGATCAGAAAAAGACTTTTGATCAGAAAAGCTATTTGATCTATATAAGAAGTTTTAAATAAAATGGCAGAAAGCACACAGAAAACAGATCACAATACATAAGGAACAAGGACATACTTCAGTCTAAGAAAGCAACCAGATGCAATTGTGAAGAAGGGCAATACCAGATAGGGTAGATAACCTAAAGAATATTAGGTACCAGATACCTGTAGTGCATATAGAGCCCTCTGTCTTAAATAGTCGGTATTAAGTAGCTGAAGCTCATGGAAAAGTTCAATAAGAAAATGTGGACGAGATTCATTTTGAGATATTAATGTAGCTACTTCAGAATAAATAGTATCCCTCAAAGCTTCGAACATGGAAAGATCACTCCCAGTTTCTGGAAGATATAAAAAGATCAGAAAGTTAATATTGATAAAATATGTTCCTGATAATTTCTATTAACTTGTCATTACTCTCAGCTTTAAATTACTTAAAACTCAGAACATACTGTAATTCTATTTCTGGGTTTTTAAAGTAGAAAAAAAATCTTAAAATTACCAAGATAAAAATAATCATAAAAATATCAAGATACATACTGTATTATTAGAAAAATATTTAAATGTATGAATAACATTACCTAGCGTTACTTAGACCATACTCATTTCTCAATAAAAAACATGTGGAAAATGTTACACATTTACAGGAATAATTAGTGGAAATTTTTCAGCACTTGAATGAAATCAGCTAACTGTAAATAATTTTCTTTTTTTGCTAATATAAATTTGTAATAAAAAAGGAAATCTGTTAATTAATATTGAGATTAAACTGAATGTTGCCAATTAGGGCTACCATTTTAAGATCTAGTTATGTCTACTAATTCTCAAATATTATCTATCATACCATAGTGATGAAAAACTTAATTTGTATCTATAACATAATATGTCAATTTTACTATAGTGTCTTACTGACATACTCAGTAAGCTGGAGCAGGCAGTGGAAATTTTCAGTTTCACAGAACCTAGGCATCACTCTATTATCTAGCAACAAGTCTGCTCTATGTATTTAACACAGAATTATCACCCTGAGAGGTATACAGTCATATCTTTACTTTTAAGAATGCAAATTAAAAACTGTTCCCCTCTGAGTTCTCTATGACCAAGTGGCTTTTCTAGCTATCAAATTCTATAAACTTTCTAGAGCAATAGTACAACCACAACTAGTTAAATATTCAAATTCCACAAAAATCAGTAAGTTTCTAAGAAAAGAAATTTGAAATATTGAGTTTTAATATACTGTGTTTTCTAATATGCAAAGACCATAAAGATTTAATTCACGTTTTGCAAGAGAGGGATATGAAAATGCAAAGCAAATGGGGTTTAATGAAAAAACTTTTCACTAATTTCCTAAGTTATCATCTTCAGGTCTCAATTTCCAGAAATATAATAAGATTAATAAAATGCAACTTCCCTATCTTGCCTCAGACATTTATGAATATAAAATGAAATGATAAACTGAAGTTCTCTTAGTAATTTTAAAATGTCCAAATGTGATATATGTCTACAAAAATGATATTATAAGCAGGAACCAAAACTATCTCTGTAGGAAATCTCTACTTACAGGAAAAATCCAGGTAAGAAGCTATAATATGCAAACTTTCAATTTATATACTATATTGTAATTTGACATAGTTGTTTAACTTAAAATATATTTATTAATTCAAAGATATAACAAGCATATTTAATATTTCCATACCTCTGTATGTGATAAAATTATCACTCTAAATTATGTATCACTAAAGATTAAATTATTCCCATATAATGAATTATGTCAAACATATGCTTCATCCCTCCCGCCTGCAACAGAGAGGTAGAACGTTCTTGTTTCTCCTCATGGATGCATTAGTTTAGGCTAGAAAAAATTTTGATCTCAGTCAGGTTTCTGTGATTCCATCTTGTTTTTTATCCTCTCTACTTTTCAGAGTTTCTTTCTTTAGGAAGTGTCACTGACATATTCAGGTTTGTCTGTGCTAGGTCCTTGTTTTTCTTTCTTAGATTCCCCTAAAGGTTCACAACAGGCTTTTATTGTTCAGCCATGTGTAGTACAGGAGGCATTAAAGAATATTTACAATTCTCAATCACAAAGAACCATACTTAATGAAAATACAAAGTTTAAAGACAAAACCAGCATTTTAGAATCTATAATTTTCCATGATCTTTATTTATCATGGTCTTTGCATGGCATAGTTGTTTTTATTTAATGTTTTGTTTATTTTTTATAGGTAATGGGTAATGAAAAATAAGCAACTACAACAGAAGACATACACTATACTTAACACTATAAATCAGGGCTAGGAATAAAAATAACTATATTTATGCTTCTAAAAATTATTAATGCTTTTAAGCATTTAAAAAATACAAAACAACTTCACGAAAAGACTAAATTATAAAAAGGTTTTCTATTATCCATATGGATGTGTTGGTTATGTTACATAAACTAACAGAAAATGAAAACATCAGAAGAGGGGCCAATTTTATCAACCAAATCAAGAATTATAAATGAAAAGCTTCAGAATTTTAATGAGTATGAATTTTACATCACTTTTACAAGCCAAATAACATATATGCACTAAACTAAATCTAAAAGAAAAAAAGAAGAAGAAAAAAAACCAGCAATAAAACTAAGGATTTTTAGGGCCAATGGGAAAAAATCAACAAGAAGTGGACACCAAAACTAAACATATTGTTGTTACCTGGCGCTTCATTGCATGCATTTCTGTTAGACTGCTGAGGTATTCTCCTAGCATGTGCTGTAGGAAAGGGCAGACATAAGGATGAACATAAAATGTGTATGAATAATAACGACAGGGTCTATAATATGAATAAGTGAATGAAAAAATAAATAAGCAAGTTTCTTTAAAATTGCTTGTCTGAACTGAAATGTTATCCCAATGTATGTTTTATGCTGTTTAAAAATAATCTAATCAGAGAAAAGTATCAAAAGATTTGCTATAAACTTTTATTAATGTGACTAACGATGACCTTCATAATAAACTTGGACCCTTCACTCTTAGAAGTATACATGGTGCACCTCCCACAGCTCCTGACGGAGCAGACTCCTTGTGTAATTCAATACTAGCAGTCATACGCGGTACATTCTAATAATCATAGAAGAAAAACTATTGCTATAAAGAATTTTAGGTTATTCGTTAAAACTGAGTGTTTTTAGAAAGTATGTAAACACAAAGGTATATTTACACTATTGAAACATTTTTCAGTTCACCCAAATTCAATCATTTTATTTTTCTAAGTGACAGTAATAAGGTCTTGAAGTACTATGAGCAACTGTCAATTATTTAGGTAATTATTTAGTGCCTTGCCCCAACCTCTACCCAAATGTTTACTCTTTGACGAAATCACCATTTGATGAAGATAGTGAAATGAGATAAAAATTATGAAATTTTGGTTAAATGTCAAGGTCAGGACAATAGAATTGATATTTTTTCAAAAGAATCAGACTTAACAGGAGACCAGGACTGAAACTTCAACTCTACCGTTTCCCAGCAATATGACTTTCAGGAAGTCATTTCAAAATACAAAAAAATGTGATGTTTCTTTTCTGATTACAAAAGTAATAAATACTCACTATAAAAGTTTTAGAAAATACAGAAGAGTTTAATAAAGATAAATCCACTATTAACATTTTGATGCATTTCCTTCCAGTCTTTTTTCATTCAGGTTTTTGTTTAAACATAGGGATCAAACTGTTCAGACAACACTAAATTTCAATTTTTGTTTCACCTTTGTTTCCTTAGGATGAATGCCTACAGTACAATTACTGGGTTAAGGGCATGACTTTTGAAGCTTTCCAGGAAAACTGTACCAGTTTATATTACTGGCCCTTTATGAGTGTTGTGAAAAATCAGGTACTGTCTCTGAACATGTATCCTCATCTGCAAATGGAAATCAAACTAATTCACAGAATTATGAGGCTCAAATGAGATGAGTAATTTGTTTAATTTATAAACAATGAGGCATAATACAAATTGGTAGCTGCTATTATCATTTTCATTAATGGTTTTACTAAAAACTGAGAATTAAGAGTCTATATTTACTGCCTCCCTTTCCAAATTTCTTTGAAGTATTCTTTATAAATTAAGAAAGTACTAATTCTTATTTAAAATAGAACAGTGGCAAATACATGAACACTGAATGGCTACTGTGTGTCAAGTATCATGCTAACATTTAAGATACAAATATGAAAGGGCATCTGCTGCCAAGGGATTCAAAAAGGCAATACAGACATTTAAGTAAATACTGGGTTGTCGGAAAAGTCATGACGTACTTTTTCTATGTTTTTCGTTGCAAAAATGCGTCGTGACTTTTCCAATAACCCAATACTATACAATGCGATACAGGCAACCGAAGAGGTTTTACAGGGGCTACAACAAAAATGAAAAAGGAGAAAGGAAAACCAATCCCAACTTGCATTTGGATGCAATTTTAGAGTTACAGAATTAAGATTTTATTTAAGAGTCCAGCAAAGAAAAGGGCTTACAGAGAGCATAAAGGACTTGAGGCAGAAAAGACAACTGCTGAAGTGAGACACCGCATGATAGCTAAGGGAAAGCTTCAGTTCAGTGCCACTACGAGAGGAAGGTGCAAGGGTGATAAGCAATGAGTCTGGAGTAGGAGGCAGGAATCATCTCTGTGCTGGCCAGATATGTTGCATTAAGGCATCTGGCTTTCTCCTGTAGGCACAGTGACAGCTAAAGGTTTTAAGCAGGAGAACATGATTGTACAATATATCGAATTCTTATTCAGATAAGATATTCAGAATTTCAAATTGGGAGTTCCAAATTATGTTAACTATACTATTTTGTTTGGCATTTTATCAAACTGTGTCAAAAGCTAGTATCACAACAGTAAAAAAATATTTCCAGTTTACATTTCTTGTATAAAGAAATGTATATCGTAATCTCTACTATAAAACCTTGCACATGATAGAAAAGTATGACAGACCAATTTTAAAACTTGTTTTAATACAGCTTTTCAAATCTAAGATGAAGTCCTTAAATCAAAGCCAAAAAAATAAAAAGAAAAAGAACATACCTGAAGATATTTCTGTAGACCTACTATATTTTATTATTTTTTCCAGCTGTTCATGATTCTTTCTGCTGAATACTTTTGCTTGAACAGGCTCTTCAGTCTGGGCTGAATGTCTGTTCCTACTTTTGCAAGGTTCACATGTGCTCGACATACTGGCACTTTCATACCCTTGAGCAAAAAAAGTGACAACTGTTATCAGTTGTAACTAACTCAAACTGAAAGGGAAATTGATTTCCATAGTCAAACAGTACAGGTAACAGTTTAGAATGAAGGCCTGGTATAAACAGAATACAAAACAGTAAATGCTGCGTTTTGGAGATATCTTTGCAATAGCCTTTAGAAGCATGGGATAACTACTAAATTCTATCACTTCATATGACCCAAATACTCGACTAGATTCCAAGTTAACAATTTTTCAATGTTAGGAAATACAAAAAAAAAAAAAAAAAAAACATCCCATCTATATAAAATGCCTGTAACAGAGAGAAGAGAAATGGGCATAAACAGTCAAACATGTCTACCTTATTATAACTTTTATGTAATATGACTTGGTATAAACGGTCTTACCCATCCACAGGTTATACATATGTTCTACTAAATTATCCTTCTAAGTTTCGGGGGTGGGGGTGGGGTGTGTGTGTGTGTGTGCATGTGTGTGTGTAGAGATTTTTTTTAACATCTATTTTGGAATATAGCATAACGTAGAAAGTCAACTTCATTTTGTTCCACATGGATAGTTTTTATACCTACTCCTTATCCCACTGAATTAAAATGCAACCTTGGTCAATATATTAAATCTCCATATTTATTGTGTTTTATTTCTGGGCATTTTGTTTAACTTACCTATTCCAACGCCATTTTCATTCTTTCAGTGGCACAAGTTTTACAGTGTGTTTTAACATATGGTAAGCAAGTCCAACCTAGCTTTTCTTGGCTATTCTTGATATTTCTCCTGCCATGTAATCTCCAAGATTTTTCCCCCCAATTTAGAAAACAATTCATGGGGATTCAAAATGGAATCACAATGAAAGTTTAATTTGAGAATTGATATTTAATTATTTTATGCATTCTCATCAAAGAATATGGTTGTTTTCTTACATTTGTTCATTCTTGCTTTGTGTTTTTCAAAACTATTTTATAGTTTTTAAAAATGGATCTAGGACTTTCCTTGTTAAATTTATTCCTAAGGACTTTGTCCCCCAGTAGCTTTAGATACTACTGTGAGGATAACTCCCCCCACTTCCATTTCTACTGGGTATTACTATAATGGAGAAAACTATTTGCATAACCAGCTACTTTACTAGTTTACTGTGTTAACTTTAGTAGTTATTCTCCAGCGTCTCTTGGGTTTAGAATATAAAATGTTTCCCTCCTTTTCCAAAATTTACGCCAATTATTTGTCATAATGCTTTCCAAACAATGTTAAATGGTAGTGGTAGAGAAGGAATCTCTGTCTAATCCCTAATTTTGATAGAGATATCTTTGGAGTATCTTCATTGACGTTTGGCATTAGACTAGAACCTTCATTATATTTAAATAACTGCCTTCTTAGGTGCATTTTACTTAGAATTTTCATTAGGAATGACTTCAGATTTTATCTCATCTACCGCTATATGACTTCTGTCCTGTAATTTGTTGATACAATGTTCACAGACTTCCTGATAATGAATCATGATTACACGTCTGTAGTAAACCCTATTGACAACAGTCTAATATTCTTTTGATATATTGGCAAGATTAAATTTGCTAATATTTTACTTTTGAATTTATATTAATAACTGAGATTGATATATTGTTTACTTTTCATCTTCCCCTATATACAGGTCTCTATTCTCATTCATATGCTGTTTCTGTCATTTTCCCCAGATAGGATACACCAATAGCTTCTTTTCATCTTGACAGGTGAGGGGTCTCGTTTGAGTACAGGATTCTTGAGTTGCAGTCTTTTGTCCATGTGGGGATGTTATTCGATTTTCTTCTACTTCTTGTGTTGTAAGATTGTCTCATATCAATTTGGTTTTTTCATTGTATATAACTTGTTCTTTCAGTCTATAAGCTTATTAGAGTTTTTAACTATATCCTTGGGGTTCTGGAATTTTATCAGAATATACGTGTGTGCACACGTACGCGCACGCTGAGCTCCCTTGTCCTCTGGCTGGACAACAGTTAGCTGTTTTGATCTGCAGTCCCGAATCCTTCTTCATTAAAGATTCCCTTTTATTATTTAATTATTGTCTCCCCACCTCTTTTTTATTCCCTCCTTTAGAACTTCTTGCATATCAGATTTTTTTGTCCTTAAGCCTCCAATCATTTTCCTCTTGATTCTACCTCTCAGTACTTTTTGCTCTATGTAATGACATAATTTTTCTCAATTTTCTAGGCTACTAATTTGGATCTTAATAACATTCATCCCTTTTCTCTAAATAATCCAAACATTATATGTAAAAGTCACTTTTTCTAGTTCTAAACAATTTATGTTATAATTCAATCTACTTATTCTTACTATTTTGTTCAAGTGTGTCTCCACTGTAGGGAAACAGCTCAGCCATGGAGACCCTGCATGTATCCACATAAGCCACACAGGTAAGTATCAAACCACAGCTCAATCTGCGCCTTGGCAGATAAACCTCCTGGAACATGGAACATGAGAACATGGGCGGCTTGTGAGGAGCTCCTATGTGGCCATTGTCACTCCCCTCCCCTTTTTCCCTGGAAAGCTGTCTTGAGTTTTTCTTCCCCTCCCTGGTTCTGACGACATGTGAGACCTTTCTGTTTCACCCTGAGGGCACACCTCCGGTCTATAAAGTGGCTTAGCTACAGCACAGCATTGCTGCCTCTGCAACAGGTGTCCCATCACTCAGGTTACAAATGTCCTCTGGCTTCTTCTGTTTCAGTGTTGCCCATGTGGTGTATAGAACAAGGGACACAGGGAGCTGGCACCTTTAACTACTCTTCCTTTTTCTATCTGTGTAAGCAATGAACTCTCTGAATCTAAAAAGGGCTGTTTCTTTACTGGCCACATTGTTAGGTCTACCCTGGCCTAATGCTTAACATCCATTTCATCTCAATTTTCGTTAGTAACAGGAAGGGGAGAAATGAAAAGATTCAGGGATGGGAAGAACCCAGAAGTCAGTACATTAACAATTCTAGCCAACTTTTCAAGAAAAGAATGAGGAAGATCTAGACTATATGCTCCTACTCCTCTTTAATAATATCAAGATGAAATGGGCATATTAGATTGTAGCCAAATTATGGGTCTGGTAACTAAAATACCCAGCATGGCGAGAAATCATGCTCAACTCATATAATCTGAATTTGAACTGAAGTTTAAAAGATGATTACTGCGTGATTTATAAAATCTTACTTCACATGCAATACTGTGTATCTTTACCTATTAAGATTTTCTAAAGATTAAAATAAATTACTATCACGGGAAACAAAGTTAAGTCAAGATCTAACAAGTACTTCTGAAAGACTGTCAACATGTGCAAAAAACATATATACTCGTATATACACACAGTTCAGTATTGTAAATTTGGGACAGTGTATCTGGCTGCACTATGTCAGCAACTTAAGTCACAGATATGCTGGTCTATTTGTCATATCCTATTTCCTTCCCCAGTCTTCATCTTTCCTTCCTGCTCTGTCCTGACTCCATACTTTTTGTTACTAAAATTGCAATGCTTTCCAATCTTCTCTCCATTCACTCCATTCCCACTTCCTTTACGAGAGTACACATTCTTTCTTCTAAGAAATCGTGACTATTCCTATGCCATAAAGAGAACGAAAGCAACATAAATTAGTGGTCTAGCTCAGTGTTTCTCAGGCTTTAATGCTCATCTTTTCATATTAAAACACCTGGAATCGTCCCAAAATGCACACGGAGAAACAATGCATACTAATTCAGCTGGTATCAGATGGGGCACAAGCGTCTGCATGTTTCATAAGCTTCCAGACGATGCCAGTGCTGCTTGTCCATGGCTCACATTTTGAATAGCAAGGTTTTAGCTGACTAATTTGATTTTGCTACATTAGTTTGATTCTGCTATAAAGTCTTTTATTTTCATCTGTGTGCCTTACAGATGGTCTTAAATGCCTGTTGATCAAATGTGAAATGTATGTTTTTGGCAGGTATTTTTTAAACTTAAATATGAGAAAAGGGAGTATACAGATCAGAATGTCAATCTTCGACTTGAAGTAAAAAGCAGCATTGCATATATAGAAGCATAACTCCTCAGATTAAAGGGATTTCAAAAATACAAATAGACCAGTATTTCAAGGGTTAGATAGCCATGACCATAAGTTGACTAAGGGTCTTCTAAGACCCTGCTACTCAAAGTGTAGTCCACAGACCAATACTGGCAACACATGGGAGCTTGTCAGACTTGCAGACTTTCAGGTCCCTCCCCAGACCAACTGAATCAGAATCTGCCCTAAACAAAATTCCCAAAGAGAGATGTATGAAACATGTAAGTTTAAGAAACATTGCCCTAGCACACTCAAATTAACTAGGTGAATGAGAGAATGCTGGGATAACAGATGTTAGTTTTTCTTCATTTACTCATATGACAGAAAGCATTTGGGGTAGGGGCAGCAAAGTACTAGGGAATAAAAGTTTAATGAGTTACCCTAAGGGCCTCTCTCAAAATGGCCATTATCTACTTAAACATTCTCTGGTGGCACCAAGAGAAAGCACAGTATTGTATTTTCATTCATTTGAATGGTTTCAGATTGCTGACCAATTTACTAATAAATTAGCTCTTCCCAAACCTATATAACTGGAAAATTATTTCAGGGATGACAATGTGTATGCTGAAAAAAATGTTACCCCTGTTCAAATTTGTTTGTTTAACCATCAAATCAGATTCTTCACATATGAGGTAGGAGCCAAGGACTTTGAAGGGTGCAGGAAGTATTGAAATGAAAAAAATGTGCATGTATTCTTTTGTATATCCATAGTTTCAATCAGACTTTTAAGTCTGATTAAGGGTTCCAGTACCCAAAAATGCTTAAGATGAATGCTGCCAAAGTTTATAAGTGGATTTTTTACTACAGGATTTCTCAGAAACTTTACTATACATACATACCATACATATAATGTATATATAAATATATAATCATAGATATATAATCATGTATTGAATACATATATAATGACTATATAGCAGTGTGCAGTGATTTTTCAAACGTTTTGCATTATAAGCCTAGAATACTTTGTTCTTAAGCACCAAATACTATCTCCTTGAACCCGGAACAACCACTCAGCCAATAAGTACCTTTTGCAAACTTGAAGAAGCATCCTTCAGCTAATATTCCAGATTTTAGCCAGTAAAACTATTTTTTAACATGTAGTTAATACTATAAAGAGAACTCTGATATGCTACTCAATGGCATGATTCAATAAAGTATGGGGTTAATGCTATACCTTACGGACTAAGGTTCAGTTCCTGCAGGGCTAAGAGCAAACATGTTTTAAAAGTGGTTTCATCTACATGATATATTCAAAGACTGCAATGTAGTTACAGACTCCCATTCCTTTAAATGAATCACTCAAGGAACTAACCAGAGGTCATTACTAAAGAGTTGGATATAGGACAAAATGTAATATTAAAAGGGAGAGAATAGTAAAACTTGGGCATTTTAGCAATTTAAGTAAACTACAAGATTTGGAAAAAATCTTCTGAGTTCATAGTAACCACATATACAGGAAATATAAGCTCTAAGAATAAATGCCATATTTTAAAAATATCCAATTTGATAAATTTCGTAAAGTATATTAAAAATAACTAAAAATGACTGTTCAAGTAGGTCCAGAATAGTGCCCACCTATCTAGCAATACTGAAATTAAATGTGTCAGTACGCGAGAGTAAGGTTACCAACATTTATACTCATCAATATTCAACAAATTTCAGTGCTTACCCATATTTTTAGCTCTGCTCTTCAGCTGAGTGGAATGCCTCTTCTTAGTCTTTGACTTGGGCGTTTTATCCTTAGATGCCAGGCTGGCCTGCGCAGATGCTTTTCTTGTCTTAAATGTTTTAGTTACTGTTGTTGGATCCACTGGATCAGGCATACTGCTAAAGCTTTCTAAGGACTCTTCATCAAACTGGCGTCTTCTCCTGCTGGCATCTAACTGATTTTTGCGATTACTATTTGTAGTTTTCTCTACAGACACTGCAAATCCTGTCTTGATAAATGGTTTTTCTACTTCACCTTCTTGGTCATATAACCATGGTGTCCTACTGTTTTCCACCTCCTCTTCGGGCTCTTTTTGGTTCCTTACCAATGAAGAGAAGTTTTTGTAGATTACAATGATAGATTTCCATGCTTAATGAAAATTCCAGATATAGTACTAAATTTATCGTTTACTAGATTTAGGTAAATAAAATCATCAACAAACTATAAAAATATTTTCACAAAAAATGTATTAAATATGTAAATATTCTAATATAGGCTACTGTACTAAATTATCTTAAAACTTTAATATTGAACCCTTTTCACTAAATCATTTTCACCAGCAACCATTCCAAACCACAGATCTAGCATTCACAACAGAAAAGAGAAGGAAATCGAAGAAGGGTGGGACAAAGAAAAAACAAAAAAACGTGGAGGAACAGCTGAGGAAGAGCTGTAGCAGAGGGTCTGAAACATACATGGACCTGTGTCACCTAAAGCAGTTCAACTAAAACCAGAATTTTGTGAAACAATGGCCATGTAACTAGTGATTTATTTCTCCACACATTAAGCCTAGTTTAGTTCAGCTAGTAAGTGTCATTTTCCAAATTTTGTCTGCTAAGCATTGGCATCCCTTACATCTTATTCACTGGTCATCTAAGTTTGGGAAAACAGTCAAAACAAAGTTAAACAGGTCTGCAGGATTTCTCAGCACTTTTAATATGCAAAAGTACTTTATAAAATATGAGATGGCCAAAACCTTTTATCAAAGAAGCTAACATGGATAACAGTGTTCTTAAGAACATAACTTAGAAGACACTGACCTATATAGGGTTTAACTTAAGACAAAGGTTAGCAAACCGACAGTATACAGGCCAAACTCAGCCTCCTATCTGTTTTTGTACGGCCTGAGACCTAAAATGATGTTTGGGGGGAAAAAATCTGAAGAAAAAAGTTTGCAACACAATTATATTAAATTCAAATTTCGGTGTTCATGAAGTATTACTGGAACAGTGCCACTTATTTTTTTACATATTGTTTATGGCTGCTTTTATGCAAGAAATGGCAGAGATAAATGGGTATGACAGGCACTGGTTGGCCTGCAATACTTACTATCTAACCCTTTACAGGAAAAGTTTTCTGACCCTGGCTCAAGACTACTACGTTCCATCTGAACCTTTATTATCTCCAGCCATTTAATTCAGGGAACCTACACTCGTTAAGATTTTGGGGAGGAGATGAGGTCTAATCTAAAGTAGGTCAAATATCTAAAACAATATTAGATATCCATAGCCATTCTTTTTTACTATCAATTATATATAAAATATGGATAATGTAGAGACCTTCCAGTAGGAATGCTATTCACTAAAACTTTGAAAAAATGTTTATTGCTTATGATGGAAATTCATTCAACCATCGTTTCTGAATGGCAAATGTACACTAAACAGTCAGGCTCTGACAATACAATACTTTCATGAAGTAACATGAGATTTAACAGGAAAAAATGGTTAGCACAGCTAACAAATACCAAGTCAGGGAGGTCAATCATAGGATTCATAGAGGCAAATATAAAGTTGAATTCTGTGAGTTTTTGATTAATCAAGTAAAAAAAAAATTTATGATTTAACAATTAAACAGTGTCAACTTGCTAATTTAAGAGCCCAAGACACGCCTAATCCCATAACTAAAGGGAAAAAGTAATATTTGTAAAGGGTTAGGAAAGACAAAATCAGAGATACTTCTTATAAAACAAATTATTAGGCTCAACTGATCTCTAATTTTTCATCCTTTTAAAAAGTTTTTTCTGAAGTAAATAATAAAAAGGCTATATGTTCATCAAAATCATTTCCTGGATTAACACAATAATTAAAAATTGTTCTTTATCTAGCTATAAAAATGCTTCTAGAATGATTAACCTTACCCAATCCAACTAGTGTTTGTATTTTAGTCAAAATTTGGGAAGATTATCATATTAGAAATAATAAATGATGACAAACAGAAAAATCATGATTTATGCCATATATCACTAAAATTTCTTTGGCCAAAGTTGTTTTAAAAATCTAACAGTACTCAGGCCGGCTGAATGGCGCGATGGTTAAGAACTGGTTTGGGATGCCAGAGGACCCCGGTTCGGATCCCACATATGAGGGCCAGTGACACTGCCCTCTACAGCTAAGATGCTGAACAACAGCTCAACCTGGAGCTGGGCTGCCGTGAGTCAACGGCAACGGCGTAGGCTGCAGCCCCTGTGGCAGTGGGTTGCCATGGGCTACCATGTGTAGCCAGCAGCCAGTGTGAGCAGCCAGCAGTCAGTGTGAGCAGCCAGCAGCCGCAGTGAGCAGCCGTCCAGAAGCCGGCGACTGATGTGCCTTGCTCGGGAAGAGCACAATGATGGTGCCAACTTGGGCCAGTGAAGCAACGTCCTCCACAACTAGACTGAAGAACAAAACGACAGCAACTTGTCTGTTCCCCTTCCCCAATTCCCCAGCACTGTTCCCATCCCAATTCCCCAATAAAAAAATCTTAAAAAAAAAAATATCTAACAGTACTCAACATTACATTTGGAGAGGTCTTCAGGTACTCATTCTGATTAGGAGCTCTGAATTAAATAAAGGAGCCATCGCTTACACAACTAGCCTCCAGTAGTTAATATTAGTTCCTAGTCCTAAATCAGTGAACTTAAAGACAGATACCAAATCAAGGCCAAAACATTCTATGGGTCAAAGTCTTATCCTTCCAAAATGAACATCACAGGACACTGTGATCAAAACTCTGAACTGCTCTTATAGCAGGGTTGGCAGCTGGTACATGCCTGAGACATCTGGTAAGATGTCAAAGTTTCATATTCCCAACACTACCAGGCCAAACAATCACAAATGTCATCCCTGTGTTTTCTAATTACATATAAGTAGATGTAATCACAAAAGTGAGGTTTCAGTAAATAATGGATTATGCTTGCAACTGAGTACCTTTGTTGTTCTGCTCCAACGGAAGAACTGCTTTCAAAAGGTTTTGGAAAAGCCATATATTCTGTTTTTCCTGAAAAATTCTGGGCTAATGGTTGCTGCTGTTCAGTGGGTGTAGGAATATTCTGAGAAAAATCTCCAAAATTAGAAGGAAATAAAGGGCTGAAATTCATACCTAATAAATAAAAGCAATGAGTAAGACAACAATAAAGCACCGTTAGCCTTAATATAAAATTAAAAGACAGTTTTAATTCAATGTGCCATTCATATCCACCAAAACAAAATTGTTAAACTAACACTCGTTTATTAAATCACTGTTTATAGCTCAACCCACTGTTTCTGGTGTTGGTGATACAAAAATAATGATCCCATCCCCTTAAAAGCTAAAAGTTAGAAACACTACCTGACATCAAATTATTACAGGGTGCTAGACTCTATTATAGGCACTTTACATGCTATTTTGTTGAATGCTCAAAAGAACACAATGAAACAAGTGTTCTTATTCATTTGAAACAGGTGTTCTATTCATTTTACCAGTGAAAAAACAGGTTTAGAGACAAAACGTCTAGTAAATGGATAAGCAGGTTAGGTATCAGGTCTGCAAAACTCCAAAGCTCATGTTCTTTGTTTTACTTTACTTGGAAAAGTAGAATATAATTAAATACTTACCATATAGTGCTGTATTAGAAGTATTTGCAAGGCCCTACTAAAAGGATCAGGGAAGGCATCACAAAAATAACCTGGTTTGTGAAGAATGTCTTTGCACAGGGTTGGCCCTGGTATGAAGCACATTACAGTGAAAACAAACTGCATGTGCAATTTCTTCTATTATTTGTTACTTAAAAGCCTACTTAAAAAAGGTTTGCTGTCAATACTAATTGACACCCAAGAACTAAAAAGCTTGTTAAATTTTCTAATGCCACTGTTTCCATAATCCTGTTAAGAAAATATACTGTGGTATTTTTATTGATTTGTATTTATATTCACAAAGCCCTTCCAAACCTTTTATCCTCTTATAGTCCCTGGCAAACACCTTCAACTGCTCCTCCTTCAGGACTCACCTCATCTAACTGGTCACTTAATTTATTATACCTCTAGAATGTCTTTTGAATTACTTGCTCTTTATGCCTACTGTCCCAAGCTCTCATTCTGATATTACTGCAACAGCCTTCTAGTTTCTATTCACTAGCTATATTCTTAGCTCCTTCTCTCCCATCTCTCCTCAACATAATCACCAGTGTCTCTAAAATATAAATCCCATGCTATCCCCTGCTCAAAATCCTTCAATGGCCCCACTGTCTGCAACAGAGAATCTAAGCTGGTTTGCACAGCACAAAAGGTCTCTGCTGCTCTTCAGCCACATCAATTATTCTTACTTAGCCACACTTCATGACCTCTAAATTCCCTAAGTGATATACTGTTTCACTGCTTTGTAACTCTAAGTGGTTCCATTGATTAGAGAGCCCCTTCCCTTCTAATCTCCCTGGAAATAAATTCTATTCATTTTTTTATCTTAAATAATACTTTTTTTTTCCTGGAAAAAACTCATTTGCTGACGATCTTTTGCCCTAAGGAAGAGTAGGCCACTCACTTCATTTGCACTCGTGGAACTGCACTAAGCATTTACTGACATTCTTAGCTTCCTCACTAAACTCTAAATTCCTTAAAGCATTAGTATTACTCATCTTTGAATCCCAGTCATGTATATAGTGTCTGGCACATAATTTTTGGGTGCAGAAAACAGTCTGATTAAAAGCCTAAGCTAAATAAAATTAAATATAAGCCTAAACTAAGCACTCACCTTTAGTCTAGCAGCATATCTCCCTCCCTCTTTTCCTCCCTAGCGTTAAGTCCCTCCTCAGGAGACTTCCCTCCCAAGGAGACTTAGAGCTCCTCGAGAAGAACATTACTCTTATTCATCTTTACTCTCTCTCAATGTTTTACACAGTGCCTGGTGTACACCAGCCATTGGATAGGTTAATTTCCTTTCTCTTTAAATGATTCAAAGCTGTAAGACTAAGCAATCATTCATAGTTTACTTACTTCCATTAGCAGTCATATTAAGCTTAAGTTTTTACTATCAAGGTAGAAACGAGTTTGTAACTTCCTTTGCAAACATTTCCTACCATTCCAAAAGACACTGATAAAAAATTGTGCAATAGACAAATGATATTCTCAAAACACTTTGCATTTACTTCCCCTTTAAGTTTTCAGTCACTTACCTGGTGCAAATGATGAAAAATTAGTAAACCCAGGTAGGTTAAAAAGATTTACAGGCTGTGCTGGAAAACTCAGAGGACAAAATAAACTGGGTGAAGGAGGGTGTGATGCACTACTGCCTCTTTCCTTTCTTCCAGGTTTTTCGGGATGCTGATTTTGTTGACGCATAAGTTCATTTAGCATTTGTTTCAACCTATAAAAATTTAAGAAGCCGGTAATTTAAAAATCAGTTATATTACCATCTACTTAAAGGACATTCAGAAAGAGTATATGGTAAGAAGTAATTCAACAGCAGAACAAACTGCTGATATTTACTACAACAAATATTTGCTTGTTGTGCAGGCTTAATTCAATAACTTGGCCTTTGGAACAAGAACTGCACTTAGCACTTTTCTCAGATAGTAAGTATAACTATATGAAACTCATCTTTTTCTTGTTTGCAGATTTACTGAGGTATAAGTTACACACCATATAATTCACCTAATGTAAATTCACCTAAGTGTAAAGTTGAACACTATAAACTATTTTTTTAAAAGTCTGTGCACAATATTAAAGGGAAACACTGGGCAAATCACTGCTCATAAATTTCTCAGGTGTCAGACTATTTGAAAATGCAATTTGGATCATGTCCTTTTGTCCAAGATAACTGTAAAACCCTTGCCCAGTTTTAGCCCTTACTATATACAGTCTCACGACATCTAAGAAACAGATTACCTTTGTACATTATTCTGTTGCCATGTTAACTGAGCATAACACTGATTCAACTGGTGCATTATAAGGTGTACTTGAGGAGATGCAACATTGCTGGGCATAACACTGTAAGGACCCGTGAGAAGAGTTTGGAGCAGACAAGATAGAGTCTATGGAAAGAAAAAAATTTGTGATAGTTACTGATGACTTGAGAAAACTGTGTAATGCTTAAAAAACAAGATTAAAAAAAATTTACTTTCCATTTTAATAATACCATAAAAAAATTTACTTTCATAGCAAACTATACCTGCTGGTCTTGCATCAAAGTCTGACAAATATTAACACTGAAATCAAGTTGTTTCTTTAGCTGATTGATTTGTTCTTGCCATTGTTCTTTCTCTTCTACATAAGAGAGTTCTGACACCCAGCGAAGGTTTTCCTGACGTTGCATGCTGATATTCTGTTGTCTTGTCTTCGCTAAAGGACGATAATTTCCATCTGCTGAAACAGGGCGATTGTTCTTCCACCTAACAAAAGATTTAAAGAATTTGGTCATTATATGCAATGATTCGGTTTTTAAATTCTGGCAATAAACCCTGATATCCTGGTCTACAGGCCAGTATTTTACATTCAAAGGACTCAGAAAGTATAGAAAACAAAGGGGGTAAACATTCCAGGTTGTTGGCCTTATACAATTATCATTTTTTATTCTTTTCCAGGCTTTTTTCATTTGTTTTACTCAGAAATGTCCATATAATTCTGTATTCTACACAATGAAAATATTTACTACATTACCAGCATTTTTCCATTCTTTATGCTTTAAGCTTACCAACATTCCATCAACTGGAACTACTCAACCATCTTTTATTCATGAAACATTTTTCAGTTATAAAAAACAATGCAGTGAATATCTTTGTTACAGACCTTCTTCACTATCTACGAGTTTTACATTTTTTGTAAACGCCCCAAAACAGGAGCAAAGCTCAAAGCTTATGAATCCTGATCCAGTCTAGCTGGGATGCATCTCCACAACACTCTTAAGGTATAATAAAAAGTGTATTTGGTCTTTGTCCCTGATTTTTAGCAGAGCTCCTATAACTCTTGGCAATTCCTATCTTTTTTTTATTCATAATGAGCCCTTTCAACCACACCTGAATTTATGCTAATGACTCTTCACAGGTCCTAAACATTGGGTTGTCGGAAAAGTCATGACGCATTTTTGCAATAAAAAACAGAAAAAATACGTCATGACTTTTCTGACAACCCCAAAAGCTTTGTGATGAGGGCTGGTCACCAGAAAAACAAACAGGCCGACTAAAGGGGTTGGAACATTCAGCTCCATTGCCCAAACTCCAGGAAGGATAGGGTAGGAGTCAGAGATTGATTTTAATCACCTATGGCCAATGATTTAATCAATTGTGCCAATGTAATGAAACCTCCATAAAACCCCTAAACTAGGCAGTGGTTAAGAGAGATTCTGGTTGGTGAACACACTTAAGTGCTGGGAGGGTGGTGTGCCCAAAGAGGGCCTGAAAGCTCTGTACCCCCTCCATCACCCAAACCTTGCCCTATGCATCCCTTCCAATTTGCTGTTCCTGAGTTGTATCCTTTGCAATAAACCAGTAAACAAGCGTTTTCCTGAGTTCTGTGAGTTATTTTAGTCAATTATGGAACCTGAAAAGGGGTTGTGGGAACCCCCAAATTTATATCCAAGTCAGACAGAAGTGTGAATACCCTGGGGACCTGGGCCTTATGACTGGCAGACTGAAGTGTGGGCAGTCCTGTGGGACTGAGCCCCTTAATTAGGGGACTGCCCTAATTCCACGTAATTAGTGTCAGAATTGAATTAAATTGTAGGACACCCAGTTGGTTCAGAGAATCAAAAAATTGCTTGATGTCAGAAAGACCTGAGACTCTTTAAATCAAGCAAAAAATCAAAACAGTGAAACTAACCTATTTTTAGTTTCCTTTACACTGTAAGAGTTATGATTCACGCTGTTAGGAGGATACATAGAAAAGTTATCGTTTGAATTGGTATCTTGCTCTTCTTCCTCCTCCTCTTCATCTGTCCGAATAATTCCTTCAGAAAGGTAACCATCTTCATCTCCTTCTTCATCTAGTGCACACTGGGTAGAGCCTCCCCAAGTTGCCATTGTTCTAGAGATTAAGAGATAAAAACCACAAGATCATTCTGGAGATGAGCTAAATACTTTACCACCTGCTGTGTGCCAGACATTGTACCACATATAAAGGTATGTGCGCATGTGTGTATTCGTATGTGTGTCTAAAATGTCATTTAATCATGGTACCATGAGATGGGTAGTACTCTCCCCGCTGCCGTTATAGAATGTTTACTCTGCCCGCCACAAAACAATTCTGCAAATAAATTAAAATAGTAATACTATCCCCTGGAAGTTGTTTCCTAAACTAAACCCCCCTCAACTTTCAACTTTTCCTTGTGTAACAGTTTTCTAGACCAGAGCTGTCCAACAGAACTTTCTGCTATAGTAGGGATGATCTGTATCTGTGCTGTCTAATGCTGTAGCTACTAGGTACATGAGCACTTAAAATGTGGCTGGTGTGTCTGAGAAAATGAATTTTTAATTTTATTTAATTTTAACTGAGTCATCTATATCTCCTGGCTGCCATACTGGAAAGCACAATTCTAGACCCATGGTTCTCAAACGTAGATGCTTATCAAAACTATCTAAAGAACTTTGTTAATGTACAAATGTGTGGTATTCAGAACAGAATAAAATACTATAGATATAGCTTGATCAATAAATTCAATGGGGACTCCAAGAACAGGAAAAGTTCTTGTAAGAAGAAAGAGAGAGAGAGTCTCGGTGCAATGTTCCAGAAATGCCATCTGAGGATATCAAAATGCTAGGCCACAACAAATTTGTATTTCAAAATTTTATATCTGAATACTTCTATACAGATAGCTAATTAATCTTACAGATGATCAATTCTTTTAGAAATATTCTTGATACGAAAATTTCAAACTTAAATCCTAAAAACTAAATGTGTTATATAATAAAATGGTTTAAGATCCTTAGAAGCCTTACAAACAGCAGGTGTTCAATTTAAATAATAAAGTGCTTATTTCTGGCCTGAAAGAAAGCACTACAAAGCATCAAACATTTTCTTTACATAAATTTAAAACTTAACTCAGAAAATAAGGCTTATAAAGTCAAGAAAATCTATACCAATATTTGACCAAGTGTCTTAGTAAATAAAAAAGAGAAAGTTGATGCTATGAGACGTTTGAATAGAAAGTAGCTCAATTTAGTGAAACGGAGTCACAGGGTGATGCTTAAACGCTACCCTTGCTGAAACAGCAGATTTGTGCTATGATGGAGAGGGGAAATGAGGCCGCTGTCCTACACGCCCCAGGCAGATGACGTCTACAAAAATGATTTAAAAAAACTCTCTTACTTTTCTGTTCTGCTTTGCTGAGGAGTACACAGGTTCTCAGATCCATCACTTCTCAATGACACAGCCACTGGAGATACAGCTCCAGCTAGACCTTGCCTCCTCTGATGTTCAGCCATCAGAGCTTCAAGCTGTTTTCTTCTCTGTCGCAGCTCTTCCCTTAACATTTCATGTCTTTGCATTTCTGACCACAACTATCAATTTAAAAAGCAAAGTCAAGTTACTGAAAATATTTGGATTTGTTTCACTTATAAAGAATAACAGGCTAATACTCTCAATAGGAACAAACACTTCTACGCTCCCTTATCCTTTTAACACTGAGATATCCATGAAGGTTAAAACAATATTTTAATGATGATAGGAAAAAATTAAGCAATCATTAATCCTTAATGAAAACAAATAGCACCCAAATATACTTCATCAACTATTTAGACAAAGTTATGATGTTTCATACAAATCACGTATAAATAAAATGCCAAAGGATAGGTCTTTGTAACTGAAATGATTACTACTTGCTGCAACAATCCTTTACATATAATTCTGCCAAATATTTGCTAATAAAGATCAAGACTATATTGGGGGCCGTCCGAGTGGCTCAGTTGGTTAACAGTTAGCTTAAGAGAGCGAGCTCTGAGCAACAGGAACGCCGGTTCAATTCCCACATGGGCCACTGATGCTGCGCCCGAGCTGAGCTGCATCTGAGCTACCAACAGGTGGCAGGATGGTTCAGCTGGTGAGAGCACGTGCTCCTAACAACAAGACTGCCTGTTCAATGGTGGGCTATGCCCGCCCGCAACTAAAACTGAACTCGGCACCTTGAGCTGAGCTGCTGCCTGGATGGCTCAGTGGATAGAGCGCACGTTCTTAACAACAAGGCTGCTAGTTCAACTCCCGCATGGGATGGTGGCTATGCCCACCCACAACTAAGATTGTACCACAGCACCTTGAGCTTTGAGGTCCTGAGCTGCTGGGCAGCCAGATGGCGACTGGCACTCTCCACAACTAAGAACAACAACTTGGCTGGTCCCCCTCCCCAATTTCCCAACACTGTTCCCTTCCCCCACAATTCCCCAATTTAAAAAAAAAAAAAAGCAGAAAAAACAAAAAGACTATTTTGAAAAGATACTAACTTACTTTTTAGAACAAACTAAAAGACACAAAACAGGCTTCATTTAAAAACATGTTTCAACAATATTCAGTTTCCCTTCCTAAGATGTGACTTATACAACATAGGGAATATAGTTGATACTGTAATAACTATGTATGGTTATCAGATGGGTACTAGACTTATCAGGGTGATCACTTTGTAAGGTATATAAATGTCTAGTCACTATGTTGTACACCTGAAACTAATGTAATATTGTATGTTGACTGTACGTAATTGAAAAGTAAACTGGTAAAAAAGATGTGACTTAAGATTCAGGAACAACGGTACAATATACAATACCTCATTATCTACTACTGAAGAATCTTCAGGCTCAAAAACTGGTTTGCTTGTATTGCTTACATTTTCATTAACAGTTGGAGTTGAAGTAACAGCTGACACATATTTTTTTGTGGAACAATTACCCGCACTAGTGGCTGAGAGCTAAAAAAGGATTTGTAAAAATTATTATGAGCAATTAAAGCAATTATGTTAATTCCATAAAAGCAGCTATTTCAGTGGCTCAGTTGGTTAAGAGCTCACTCAAGAGTGCAAGCTCTGAGCAACTACAGTTCGATTCCCAGCCTGAGCTGAGCTGCTGCTGAGCTGACAATAGGTGGCAGCATGGCTCAGCTAAAAAAAAAAAAAAAAGCAGCTATTTCACTACTTCTCTAGGGTTCTAGTAACATATTTAATTTGTTATTACCAGACCTCAACTGCCATCATGATCCAAAGAAAATATGACATAATAAAACAAAGATGAGAACACTGGCTAAAGCTGATGAGTTATTAACCAACTTTCAGGAACAACAGATACAAGAAGGATAAAATGTTATTGTGGAAAATTTCATATACTCAACACAACTCAGGCATATATTCCTTTGGATATTGTGTAGATCAGGGACAAGGAAAAAAGGGCTAGATAAAGTGGAAAAAGGAAGAGTCTAGAAAAGAAACGGTTTATATTACATATATCATTTGATGTGTTTCCTTTTCCTTGAGAATAAAACCTGACTGAAGAATAAAGCTAACCAATACATTTCGGGACCAGAAAAATCTCAAAAAGAATTGGTATTTCTTTCCCATATTAACCCTACTCCTGATTACCTGACACAGTCAAAGATTGCACAGTCTCTGTTCAATCTCAAAGACCAATGCATAGAGTACTACTAATAAGCAAAGGTGTATACAGTTAGTAGTCAAACTACAAATAAAGTATTTTAATTTCTAAGATAACTCATGATGGCTTAAGAGGTAATTTATTATATAATTTTATGCCAATAAAAGATGGAAATGCTAGTCCCTTAATTACTAAGTTCAAACAAGAATATTTTAATAAATAGTTATAAATACTCATGTTCTGCATATACAGCTAGCTAGCCAAACAAGTGAAAGAATGGAAATAATCAGTCAATTCCATGTGCTATCTTTCAGCGTAAATGTATATCTTTAACCCATTTCATTACTGCATTTCATTAATCATAAAATTAATAGATATAAATCTGCTACATCAGTATTAGAAAAAGACAGAGTACTTTCTATTGGTGATTGGTTTTTAAATATCGCTTTTCAGACAAATGGAAAGAAAGAAATTTCCTAATTACCTGTAGGTCAGGACATGCCTTTTGCAATGCTTGAATTTTCTCTTGAATCTTAATCAGTTTTTTTCTTTCTTCCTGCAATTGTTTGAGCTCTCTCTGTTGTTGCTGTAGTTTAGCCTCATAAAATTTCTCTCTATAATTAAATTGACATATTTGTACACTCCAGTAAATCTGACAGCATTAAGAATGAGGTAATACAGTACACCTGAGTACTTTCTTTATAATGGGCATTACATTTTTGTTAAATGAAGGCTATAAGCTTAACATACCTTGCCTTTTCATTTACTCCAGCATCTTTCTGTGTTTTATTGGCATTTCCTCTAGTGTTATTTGCATTCTGTTTGATGTCTTCTTCTGCTGGGTAGAAATCATCCAAATTTGAAGTACTGGCAGAGATAACTCCCTGGTCTGCTGCATCATCATCCTAAAACCACAACATTATATTAAAATAATTCTGATATATCCATTTTATACCTTAATAAATACCACTGTTCTGTAAAATTTACATAACATAAAAATTAAAGAAGTAGAAAAAGTTCATGTTTTTTAGGAAACACTGAAGTTCATACTCTATGTACCAATGACAGGAAATGAAGTACTAAAACTGAAAACAGTACATTTGAAATCTAACCTGCCTACTACCCAGTAATGACAAATAAATACTAAGTTGCCTTTTCTTATCTTGACCAGATACTGAGCTAGTAAAGAACAGCTTTTCAGAAAATATGAAGATAAAATATATACTATTGGAGCTGGGAACTTGATATTAGATTTTTTTCTTAAAATTTAACTTTTACATTAACAATTTCAAATAATCAATGTCCATTTTCATTTGCTTACTCAAAATTTTCCATTTCCTTACTTTGTCTTTAGTTTGCAAAACAAGTGCCAATGACGCACAATACAAAACTAATGAGGATATACCATCTCAAATCTGTAATGAATACAGGAAAAACAACTAAAGTTCTTATCTTCCTAACATCTTCTGTTGAAATTAATGTACTTATTAAAATGGGGGATTTGGGGTAAACTACTGTACTTTCTTAAAAACATTTAACTGTATATATTTTATATTTACTCATGCTTTCTCTAAAGTCCTCAACTAAAACTTTAACCTTTGGAAACATCATTCTAATAAAACTTCAAAAAAAGTTAGAACTTACTCTTAATTATAATACTGTCTAATCAATTTTAAGTTTGTAGACGGTGTTCTGGTTTCTGCAATCTAAAAACTAGCTTAATTCATTACTAGCATGGCTAAGGTTAGAAAGTAATTGGGTTGGGGACTCAAGAATAAATAAAGAAGCTAGATCATGAGGCATTTTCACATAATAAAAAGTAGAAAAATTAAAGTACAATATTATACAAGACACAAAACACTGCATGAAGTTTCCAATGGTAGTATAATAAGGGTGCCTGAACAACATAATGACATAAGCTCCAACACCAAAACTAAGTAAATGGCTAAAGAATTACTGTATTGACACATATCACAGACTAAGGAACTAAAAGATATACTAGATTTCTGGAGACTTCTAAGACACATAAGGTTTCATGTAAATTGTCCAAGCTAATCTAACCAAGAATAGTAACAGCTTCACATAATCACTAACTATTAATATATAACTGTTTAAACCCTCTCCTGAGTCTCTTAGGAAAGAGGATATAAGGTAAAGAAAAAGACTACCCTTAGTAAAATGAGTAAAATTCATCAATTACTTTTTTAATAGCTCTTTCAGGAAGCGATCCCTAACCCCCGTTTTGCAGTTTCCTCATTACACACACACACACACACACACACACACACACATTCATGTCTTAGAACACTCCCTAAAGCAAAAGATCTCCATTAAATGTAGGCCTGAAATAAAGCTGATTCATCTGTAAGCCACCAAGTTATTCATCTTTTCTGATCTATTATTCCCACGTTGGGTAATACACCTAAAGAAAGGAATCTTAAAAAAATGGGAAAGTAACAAGTACAATGATATTTAAGATAGCACAACTTATTATTATTTGCTTTGGAAGCTTTTTAATTTTTTTTTTTTTAAGATTTTTATTGGGGAATTGGGGGAAAGGGAACAGACAAGCTGCTATCCTTTTGTTCTTCAGTCTAGTTGTGCAGGACGTTGCTTCACTGGCCCAAGTTGGCACCATCATTGTGCTCTTCCCGGGCGAGGCACATCAGTCGCCGGCTTCTGGATGGCCGCTCACGCTGGCTGTTGGCTGCTCAAGCTGGCTGCTGGCTACACACGGTAGCCCATGGCAACCCACCTGTGGTCGCCGGAGACTCACTGCAGCCCAGCTCCAGGTTGAGCTGTTGTTCAGCATCTTAGTTGTAGAGGGCAGTGTCACTGGCCCTCATTTGTGGGATCCGAACCGGGGTCCTCTGGCGTCCCAAGCCAGCTCTTAACCATCATGCCACTCGGCCGGCCCAAGCTTTTAAAATTTTTAAGTGGTAATACTATGATCAAAGTTCAAAAAGTAAAACAGACATTTAAAAAGGTCTTCTTTCCATACCTGTCCCCTAACTGATTCCATTCTCCACAGGTAACCAATGTTATGAGTTTATATATCTTACAGCTATACTTTGAATACATAAGCAAAAATATATATGCGTGTATATACACACCTATATGTGTTTGTATACATGTGTGTATACAAAGGCCCTTCTTATAATAGGGAAAAGTTGGAAAAAGCCAATTCTAGTAATGATTAAACAAGCTACAGTATATAAATATAATAAAAGGTAATCAAGGGTGGGAAATGGAATCATACACCACTGCTTAGATAACAATTAATACAGTCATCTGGAGAGCAAGTGAGCAGTGACCATTAAAATTAAAATGTCCATAAACTCTGACATAGCAATTCCATTTCATATCTACTCATGAAAAACACAAATACTCAAAGAGGCTTGTGCAAGAATGTTCACTGGAGCAGTCTTTCTAAATAGTGAAAAATTAGAAACAAAAGTGAACATCAATAGGATGTCAGATTAACTAAATTAAGGTCCACTGATACTACAGAAAACAATGCTGCAGCTAAAACGACTTGTATTTAATACACATACACAAACATGTAGTATTACTTATATTTTCTAATTGTTTAAATATATAATTATTTATCCATGTAATTATAAAGAACTATATATACCGATAAGAAAAGTTCTCTAAGAAACTTGTGAAGTGGGAAAAAACAGCAAGCTGTAAAATAATAGTATATTATACAACTTATAAAAACACAAAAAAATATAAAACAATTCGTGGAAGTATTGTTTTATATAAGTGCTGCTGATGTAGGTAAATGCACAGAAAAAGGTTTGACAAAATAGAATTTGTAACTTCTGTGAAGGAGAATGGGATTATAAATGGAGGTTCAGAAGGTATTTACTAGTAATGTTTCCTTTTTTAAAACAAATTAATCTGTTACTTGAGTATTTCAAAATTAAGTAGCATTTCAAAAAAAGTTGCAAATAAAACTTGAAATTTTTTTCATTCATGATAAAAACTATTTTTCTATAATTTATTAATGTGGTTAATTTTAATGTTTTACACTTCATTTTATTTTTCAACTTAAGCTAAACAAACCTCCAAGAAAACAAATCACTCATTAATTTTTTCAGAGATATAGTATCTATTGATATTACCTAAGTTACAATCATGTAACAGAAGTTTTTTGGCTTTCAAAAATCGTACACATTTCAATACTTTAGAAAGTCTCTCAAAGATATTTCTAGTGATTACATTACTGAGAAAAGAGTAGGAATACGTAACATATAAAAAGGAATGAATTTAAAAGGTCAATAACTTTTGTTGCTTTAAAAAGATTACAACTAGTCTAATAAACTGCAAAAAGCTACATAAGTCTTTGGACTACATCAGTCAATACAGAAATGTTAATAGTTATGTAATTTCATATGCATATGTACAAATGGCTTTTTAAAATTTATGACTAATGGTTGCAACTTTACTTATTTGGCCTTAAAGAACATGATAATACATATATGGTTGTCCTTTTACACCAAGTAAGTTATCAGGCTCTGGTATCAGACTGGCTCAATTCTGACTCTGATAACAGTAAACATCCTCTGTAATCTGTTTAATATCTACCTCACAAAGATGTTATAAATTCTATATGATATAAGACTGGAGATTTCACTTACATGTGGAATCTAAAAAATCAAATAAACAGAAAAGAAACAAACTCAAAGATACAGAGAACAGATTGATGGTCATCAGAAATGTGAGTATAGGTAAAAAAGGTGAAAGGGACTAAAAAGCACAAATTGCCAGTTACAAAAATAGTCATAGGGATATAAAGTACAGCAGAGGAAATACAGTCAATAATATTGTTAATAACTGTATGGTGTCAGATGGGTACTAGACTTATCAGTCGGGGTCACTTTGTAAAGTATATAAATGTCTAACCACTAGGTTATGCACCTAAAACTAATATAATACTGTATGTCAACTGTAATTGAAAACAAATTTTAAAAAATAAAGACTGAGGTCTCCAGCAAAAAAGAAACAAACCTGTTTTTGTAATAAAGTTATATTGAAACACTGCCATGCTCATTTATTTATGTATCATATATGGCTGCTTTTGCATGGAGTAGTTGTGGCCTACAAAACCTACAATATTTACTAACTTGCCTTTAATAAAAAAGTTTCTTCATGCCTGATACATGGCATGTAAAGTACTAAGCACTTAAAACTGGAACATGGTAAGAACTCAATACATAAACATGTCCTAGGACCGGCCAAGTGCTTCTTGGTTAAGAGTTGGCTTAGAAGTGCCAGCTCTGAGTAGCAGGGCTGCTGGTTCAGATCCCACATGGGCCAGTGATGCTGCCCTCTACAGCTAAGATGGTGAACAGCAGCTTGACCTGAAGCTGGGCTGCCGTGAGTCTCTGGCAAGGGCGTAGGCTGAAGCAGGGCTGCAGTAGGCTGCCGTAAGATACTGTGAGTGGCTGGCAGTCAGCGTGAGCGGCTGGAGGCATGAGCCGCTATGAGCGGCCATCCAATTGCCGGCGAGTGACTGCCTCAGCCAGGAAGAGTGCAATGATAATACCAACATAGGCCAGTGAAGCGACGTCCTCCACAACTAGACTGAAGAACAAAAAGACAGCAACTTGTCTGTTCCCCTTCCCCAATTCCCCAACGCTATTCCCTCCCCCAATATCCCCAATAAAATCTTTAAAAAACCAAAAAACAAAAAACGTGTCGTAGTATAATTATACCAATAATTATCAAACACATAAATTTTACCTTGTAACTAAGAATGTACTATTTGACAGTTTTTTAAAAAAACAAGTAGTTACCTGTACCATAGCAACAAGATCTTGTAACTGTCTAAGCTTTTGTTTTGCAGCCATAAGTCTATTGATCTTCTGTTCAAACTCAGCATCTTCCGGAGCCTCGTCAACCATACTGCTCCTGTGACTAGATAATGAAGCTCCACTGACTCCGTCATCTTCTGCTTCCTCCTCCTCATCATCATCATCTTCACCTTGTGCAACATGAATCCCCTGTTCTCCTTCTCTATTGTATCGACAATCTGCTGAAAACATGTATCATTAAATCAATACTTTAATAAACCCAAGAGTACTAATGAAAAAAAATACACTTCCCAAGAACATGGCAAAAATTTCTGTGAATAGTCATATTCATATTATCATACCTAAAGAGGGAGGCATGTTTAAAGCCCTTAGGTTGGCAGCAGATCTGTTGTTAATTTCACAATTTGAATTAACCGATCTGCCATCTCTATTATTAGAAACACACTGTGCATTAGAATTACTATTTACTTCATTCCAGGTGGCAGCTACTTGTGGATTTCTAAAAGAAAGAAAACAGCCTGAAGTTATTTAAGGTTAAAAAAAATAAAAATAAAAAAATCAAAGTTTTAGAATTGTTAATAAAATAACCTATGAACATCATTGACTATTTCCCCACTTAAATTCATACTATGAGTAACTGGCTCGTGTTTTTCATTAACTTCTGCTATTTAAAAATTTAAGAAAAACATCTGAAAAATCAAAATTATACCTAAAAATAAAAAGGTAGGAAAATGCTAAATTAGAAACTTATGATTTACTTGCATTTGATCTAACAAATAGCAAATTTACTAAATAACTGTCCTCAATATTTTCCTATTTGTTTTTCTTTACAGGGCAAGTGAGATTATACTGACCAAACAGCAGACTTATAAGAGAAAAGTTTAAATAAAAGGCAAATAGTCGGCACTCAACTAAGGTTTCTTTGCTTCCATATTAAAAGTATTCAGTTAGGATAAATATATTAGAAAAACAAACTTAAAAAAAGTTCTTACCGAATGTTAGTAACAGGCTCAGAATTTTCATGCTCAGAATCATATTCTGACTCTTCAGTTTCTTCATCTTTTGTATTTTCATTTACAGCATCTGTCATCATATCTGATGTTTGTTCATAATAACGAACTAATTCTCTTAGTTCATTCAATCTCTTTCGAACTTCGTTTAACTTCCTGATAAAATATATATATTTATTTATAAATACCCTTTTTAACAAAGTAGAGCAAGCATTATTTTCATATAATAGCAGCCAGCACAAGCAAAATTTAAACCTAGTTAAACCTAGCTAAAGTTTAATTTCAAGTACAGCTTCCTTAGAATTCATCACTTTATTTTCTTATGCTGTGTTAGGGACAAAAACCTAAGAAAACCAGTTTCAACTGTTCACCTTAAGTATTATAGTATAAATGTGCTTACAATTCATTGTCAAAAACATTCCTAGGTTTCTTAATACGTATCAAAAATGAGAAGTATAAAATACTCAATTTGAATACTAGCTCTGACAACTCAGATATGCAGGCATTACTGATCATTTACAGGCTCCCGATTTGTCTGAAACATACAGAGATTATCTATAAAGTATATAATGTTTACCAAAAATAACAAGAAAGTATGCTGAGTTTTTTGTAAGTGCCAGGAGGTACGCCAATGTTTTTTGATCCTTAAAACACCTTTATGAACAGGTATATTACTATCCCTATTTTACAGATGAAGGAACAGAGGCTAATTGAGACTCAGTTACTTATCCATGGTCACACAATCTTGACAGATACAATTTCAGAGCTAACTGCCTCTAAAGCCTGGGTTCTAAACCATTTGAATACAGAGATCTTTTAGTTGTAGTCCAGCCATTTTTAGTCCTTTATTTGCAAATGGAATGCATTAGCTCACATAAATTACCTGTATTACAATGTCACATATCTCTTAGACAACTCAAAGACTGCCCATATAACACACACACACACACACACACACACACACACTTCTACCACCATATCACTTAAGAATCATATTAAATAAATTCAGTTTCTCCAGGATTTTCAACCACCAAAAAAAATAAATAAATCCCAGAATTTATCCCCATTATTCAATTCAAATCTTTGTAACAATAGCAGTAAAAGTAATTTACTGGAGTTTTTCAGTTGGATTCAGATGGCCTTCATTTTCACTTTCATTATGAGAAACCAGAGAAGCAGCAGGATAAGGAGCCGATGATGTGAGGCTATTGGATTCTCCATTGACAACTGGTGCTAAGCCTACAGGAGCAGAGGGAGCTGAAGTTATACTTCTTTGATCCACACTCCTTTGTGGAGAGGCTGAAGAAGGCACAACTACAAAAAAAAAAAAAAAAAGACCAATTACTAATAAACAAATACAGCATCAAACAACTTTTTCAGTTTGCTTGAATGTAGAAAATATTGTAAAAATTATTAACATTTTAAATTCTGCAAATTTAAATTTTAAAAACTTAAGGATATAACTTCTAAGCCACTTACTTATTAACATGTCACTCAGCCAGAGTTAAAACAGAAAGGAAAGAATAAAGACAGACAAGATAGAAATGGACAAGAATTATGATATTCTACCTTTCAAAAGTAACTAGAGTATTCCTTGATAAACTTGGTTCCAGCTTAAGCTAACCAAGACCACTGTGTATGATGTGAGGTACACCAACCTACAAATCTTCACAGGGCAGCCCTAGCATATTATGTCCCTAAGAGCGTTCCAAATCCATAGTGCAGAGGAAATTATATCTGGTCTCCAAGATGACACTTTTCTTATTCCAAAAGATAAAGCAAAATTGTTAAAGTGACTGTGGTACATCCATACTATGAAACACTGCTCAGCAATAAAATGTTCTAATTAGGTGATAGCTAATCCTCCACAGTCCTTGAACTACATTTCACTTTTCTTTCCACACAGATCAAACAAAGAGTATCTTATGCCTTCAAGAGTAATGAGTGAAAATGAAGAATCTCTGCACTTCTCTATCTCCTACCACTTTAAAACTACTGTCACTTCTTTCTTTCTCACAACCATCCCCATCAATATTTGTTGCCTACACTATCAGTTGCTACGGCTGGTGTCCAGTAGTCTCTTCACTATTCCTTGACTTTTGCCATTTGCTGCTGCTTTCGCAATGTTTCCCGATGGGAAGAAAATGATTTTTTGGAACCAACAGACAGAGTGCTACTTTCTTTATCTGCATAAAACTGATCACAAGGCCTTGAATACTACTTTCAAACTTTAAGATTTTCTTAGATGTGTTAATCTGTTTAGGAAGAATAAGCATTGAGATTAGATTATACTATAGAGGAGGAGGCGGCTAGCACAGGTCAGAGAACAGAAAGGAATATGTTTCAGGGTAGAAACAGTAAGGTTCTTTTGGAGGTGACAGAGAAATAGGAGATGAGAAATGTTTCTATCCCTTGTTTTTTCTTTAATAAAAGAGCAGCTGTAATGTTGAAGAATAATGACCAGTTGGGGTTGACCCTGCTGACTCCATTTCCAATGCTTGAGCTCCTATTAGTAACTGTTTGGGTAGGAGGCAGGAACCAGGCTTGAGAAGGTAAGAGGATAGCAAGTGTCCTAGATCTCAATTAGAGGCAAATAAAACATCCGTAGAGAAGATAATTCCTGTAGTACAACTAGGATGATTACTGCCTTTCCCATATAACTATTCAGTTGTCGGAAAAGTCATGGCATATTTCTTGTTTTTCGTTGCAAAAATGCATCATGACTTTTCCAATAACCCAATATATAACTACGATGACTATGTCTTTCCTATTCTCACCTGAGATGACTATGTATTTTAAAAAAGGATGCAGGTGATAGAAATTCTGCACTAAACCATATGTATTATATAAGTTTTCCATATTTCACTGTTTTTGTATACTTTCTAAATCTGTTTTATAGTTTTTAAATCAAAGTACTAATTTGGATTCATTTTTAAGGGAAAATTTTGAGTACGCTAAAAAAATGCAGGGTTATGTCCAAGTATCTAACAGTTACCTTCTGTTCTACTTTTCCCAAAACCCTACCACTTTTCAAGGCCCCACTTTATCTTTTCCATTTTAAGAATTATAGAACAGGTCTGCCATCTATTTGGCTTTTATCATACACTACATTTTTACTTAAAAACTTTTCACGTGCAAGTCCCATCTCCCCCCAAAATTATAATTTTGAGGAACTATGTGTTCATTCATTCACCAAATATTCACTAAGTAAGTTCTATGTGCTGCTATGATACTTACGTGTCCTACACCCAATTAAACAGCTAAGCCAGGTTGACTTACATGATGAATTGTTCAGATGCTGATCTCGAAGTGTATGAAGCTCTCCCAGCAGTTTGTCCATTTTTTGTTTCTTTTCCTGTAACACTCTCATTTTGCTAAAAAGTTGGACTTTCTCATCAGGTAAATGTTCTGAAACTGATGGATTCCTGCTCTGGGAAACCTCCCTAGTTAATGAAAGACTTTCTGCCTGTCTTCTATTGTCTGGAACAGCTGGAGGCTGTTATAAAAAAGAAAAAGAAAAAGACTAAGGCAACTAAAGGTTGCATACTCATTTTAAAAATGCATAAACAGTCTTTAATATATGAGGTGTAATCACAAAATATGGTGAATGTTTAAATAAATAAAAAAATTTTATTACTGTAAGACACATTGCCATTAATCCCCTTCAAAATACTCCCCATCACTTCAAACACACTTATCCCATCGTTCTTGCCACTTTCTGAAGCAGTTCTGGAAGTCCTCTTTCATGAGTGTCTTTAGTTGTGCTGTTGTGACTGCCTCAATGTCCTGAATTGATTCAAAATGTTTACCTTTCATGGTCATTTTGATTTGGATAAGAGCCAGAAGTCTCACAGTACCAGATCCAGTGAATAAGGTAGATAAAGACACACCGTAATGTTTTTAGTTGACAGAAACTGCCATAAACCAGAAGCGATGTGTGACACAGAGCACTGTAATGATGGCAGATGAAGTAAAGACACTCATGCAAGAGGACTTCCAGAACTGCTTCAGAAATGTCAAGAATGCTGGGATAAGTGTGTTTGAAGCGAAGGGGAGTGTTAATGACTATGTGTCTTTTACTGTAATAAATTTTTAATTTAAACATTCACTGTACTTTTTGATCACACCTCATAGACATACATAACTAAACAGTGGTCTTGGCTTCATTGGACATTATCTGGATCTAAATTAAGTGGGTCTAAATTAATCGAGAAATTCCACCTCCATACAAAATAAATCTTCGAAATTATTATCTTGCCATCTTTTTAGAACTACCACCATTAACTCTAACTTCTTATGTTTTTCCTACCACTTCTTTTCTGTTGTTCTATTTTAAAAAAAAATATATATATATATGTATGTATATATATATAGTATATGCATGTGTGTGTGTATATATATATATATGTATATATATATATATGTATATAAAACATTTCAAAAATCCACTAAGGATTTGAGCTCAGTCAAATTTTAATATTCTGCCACATTTACATCAAATCTTTTTTTAAAGAGAAATATAATATTAAAAATATAGCTAAAGCTCTACATGTCCCAGGGCCCCAATCCCATTACTCTCTCCAGAGATAACCATAATCTAAAATTATATATCTACCATTCTTATACATGCTTTTATTTTGTAATGTCTTTGTATGTATCCATAAAAAAATACACATTCTTTACACATTTTTAAACATAACCTAAGTGGTATCCTTTTTAAACTTGTATTTTTTGTTCATTAGCTTTGGTTCACTTAGTGTAACAGGTGATAGGAGTTCACTGTATAATATACCTTATTAATACATTTTATTATTCATGGGCATTTAAATTATTTCTGATTTTTTGCTACTAACATAATGCTGCCATGAACATTCTTGCACATATCTCTTTGTGAACATGAGTTTCTCTAAGGTGGGCCATTGCAGGATTACTAGAAAAAAATGTACTTTACATATTGTTAAATAACTCCCCAAAGCGGTTAGGCCTTATTCTTTTATTTTCACTTGGTCACCAGACAGGGGACACTGAATCTTCAATCATACTTATTTCCAGTGGAGATGTATTAATTCATAATTCACCCTTTCTTACTCAAGGCCCACAGATTAAAATTTTGTATTTGTCAAAATACAAAAATCATTGTTTTAAAAGGTCAACAAATTATAAACTTATTGACTATGAAATTAAACTTAAGAACTTTCTTAAAATTGTTAGTAAAATACCGTAAGGACACAGATTTAAACATAACTTAAGTTTAAAAGTTGTGACCATTAACCTTAGAGACGAAAAAAGAACATGTTATCAAGTAGCATACAAAGGAAAAATTTCACTAATCACTTCAAAGTAGATTTTCCTCTAATTTAGTATTTCTTATAGTCCCCACACTACCAGCACTGGAATCACATGGGGGGAAGCCCACCCCAAATGTATCAATCATAATTTTGAAGGTGGGCAGATCCCACTGACCAGAAATCTACATTTTTTTAATCATGCCAGGTGATACTTATCCTCAGTAAAGTTTGAGCACCATTGTTTCAATTAATGTGATTTTAAACCCAACTATACTAAAAAAAATTTGTTACCTGAGAATCACGAAGCTGATTATGAAAACGCTGAATTAAATCATTCAATTCTTCATTTAATTCAGATGTGATACTGACGCCAGACAGGCTACCAGTAGTTTCTGTTACAGCTGAAAAAAATTTAACAACTATTCATCAAAGCAAATAAATGCAACACCTTTTCAATTTCTGAGAAGCTAAAATTAAATTTTTTGGGAAAAGGAAATTAAAAAAAAAAAAATCTCACCTAACACAATTTGAAAATAGTTAACCCTCAGATTTATCTGCTAACCAATCATTTATTAAGTTTCCATCTAATCTGAAAATAGAGGGAAACTCATAAAACTCTACTATAGTGATTTATCTTTTTCTGTTCCAACATTCAAAGTGGGGACAGGTCTATCAGGTTGGGTTGGGGGAGTGGCAGGGAAAGTAGGTAGTCTGAAAAACAACAGCTGATTCTGACATGTCTCAATCCCACCTCTCCCAACAGAATCAATGTGCTAGTTCGGGAGCTCACAAGCTTTTCTTAAAGATTCAGAAAGTAAGTATGTTAGGCTTTCTGGAAATACGGTTTTTGTCTCAACTACCCAAACCCTGCCATCATAAGGCAAAAGCAACCACAGACAATACATAAACAAATGGGCATGGCTGTGTTCCATAACACTTTATTACAGGCAGAGGGCCAAATCCAGCTGGCCACAGTTTGCTGATCCCTGCAACAGAACAGATAATTTAATGAAGTATCTGCTTGTGATACAAATCATACTAAAAGGCCGTTGTTTTTTATCTTCCTAAGGCAGTCTTCTGATGACAATTCTGGTAACAGTTACTGCTCTACTACCCAACAACCCCATGCTTCTCCTCTCCAGCTCTGAAAGAGACACTGGCTACAAACTGCTTATGTTTTACAGAAAAATACTAGCTTTGTCCACTAAGAAATTAGAATTTCAGGGCTGGAGAGAATCCCACATATCCAGTCCAAACTCTATTTTGAAAAGAAATCAGTCTAGATAAGTAATAACTTTCTAGTTAACAAGCACTCTTTCCCATGACAATTATGTTGCCTCTCATATACTAGAAGATTAAATATTGCAATTCTGGTTTTCATCAGTATTCCCCTGCAAAAATCTCATAAATCCCAGAGGAAATCTGTTTTAAAATTACTAACCTAAAATTCTTTTTAAAATAGTATATAAAATAAATTTAAACTCTTATTCATTCTACTCCTGGGTCCCTGCTTAATGATAGTACACATTTTTTTTTAAGAGATCATCTGCTTACTTAAAAATAAAAGTTCATATTCACAAACAAAGACCACTGACGTAGAACTCGAGATCTAATTCTACTAAAATTCTGTATAAGCGTAGGTAAGTCACAAACTCTATGTTCGAGTTCCTTCTCTATAAGAAATAAGGCTCCAATGACTAACCTACAATTTTGTGATCAAATGAGATGATTATGCAAATGTAATTATTTGAAGTATAACTATCACAGGAAAGTCTCTGAAATCTGATACACCAAATTTGAAAAATATTTAAAAATTTAAAAGGTTAGTTGTAAACCAAACTAGTATTGGTCATTGGTAAAGTTTTGTTTTTTCCTAAATATAAATGTAAAAGCTAACGATAGTTTGGATTTTACAAGGGAAAAGTGGGGAGGAAAATCTGCATAATTATTGCTATATACTATACTATATAAATTATATATAACTATATAATTATTATAAAAGAGTAAGTTACTTGCAAGTCATAAAGTTCCTCATGAAAATGCAAAATTAAATTATGCATAAGTGATCAGGGGGCTGAGCCAGTGGGCTAGGCGTGGGCAGCAGGATAAATTGAGTAACAACAGGGTAACCTCAATAAGGACCTAAAATGGAGAGCCCACAGGAGATAAATTATTAGACTGGGATGACAGACTACTAGAAAATGCACCCTAGTTTTACTGAGTTTTTACAAGTTACAATTTGCTTTCAATTTAATGAGAAATTAAACACTTGGGTTTGAAGGTGATGAGACTATAAAATTAGACTCAATACGAAAGAATTTAATAAAATGTAGAAGTTAAAGAAGGTCTATGAATTGAATCACTATCTCAAGCTCTTAAACCCTTTCTCAGGAGGCAAGCAGAGTATGGCAATCCCAGTTAAGTACTAAAGGTAGAAATAAAACCCTCAAAAGCTGTCAGTCTGAGGTACAAAAGCAGAACTACAGCCTGTCCTTTTACCTCTTACAGGTGCTCTCTGATGAAAAGGAGAGCGAGCTGGCTGTCTGCACGGTACAGTATGATGGCCAGGAGTTGTCCCTGCAATCTTTTCTGCATAACCAGAGAAAAGCACAGGACAGGGTAAGCCTCACACGTAGGTTTCTAAACAAGTCAACAATCTAGATCTGACTATATAATAACCAGCATCCATCTTGGAATGCCATTATTTATTGAGCTTTGCTTATAAAAACAGCATCCTAAGACTGTGGCATACCAGAATCATCCATCACAGCAATAGCTTGCTCTGCTTTATGCTGCAGAGCAAGAAGAGCCGCTTGCCGTCCCTGCAGAGCTCGCAGTTGCTCCTGCTGCTGTAACATCCTTTTTAATAAATCATGTTGTTTCTTCAAACTTTCTATCTCTTCCATGGGCTCCTGCTGAGGGTCTCTGGCCTGGAAAATAAGATCAACAATATTTACATCTATTAAAATTCATGTTCCTGTTTCAACTAGCAATGGCAAAGTACATACATAGATAATCAATTAGTACTAAATATACAACCCTGGATATAATTTTAGTAGACTTGAAGAAAAAAAGAATAAAATGGTAACACAGAGATAGCCTACCATATTAAGAGTTAGGTCATTTCATGGTGAAAGGCCATAAGCAGTGGCTTAGCATAAAGAGGAATTAACGAAAATAAAGAAAAAGACATAGAAAAAAAAAGACAGGAAGGCCAAAGGAGTAAAAGGAGCTAGGAGCGCACGCGCGCACACAAGGGATCCAGGCCTTACAGAGGAGCAGATCATACCAGGTTAATGCCCTAAAAGTATCCTTGAAAAAAGACCAGACTAAAAAACATTCTTCCCCACGCCTATAAGTGATACTTAAAAACACCAACAAAACAAAGCAAAAACAAACACTATTTTCTAATTAAAGACAGAAATTTTAATCTGTTATTTTTATCTGATAATCTGACGTGAAAGGCTTTAATTTACTTGCATCACATTACATAAGCAAAAAATGAAGTGGAGAATTTTATATTTTATATCAAAAATATCACTAATTTTTATTTTAAAATATGTTGATTTAGCTGAGTCTGAGGACATAAAATAGGATACTTTAAAATTCCCCCCAAAACCTAGCATTTTGCTTGAAAGTAAAAGATCGCATTACTTTAAAACTAGATTTTAAGGGCTTAAAACTATTCAAATGTAACCCAACAAGAGAAAATAAAAGTCAATTAAGCAAAAAGACAAATTTAAATATAACTAAAAAACAATAAATTATAAGCCAAATTATGAATGAAATGTATACCATAATGGTATTTTTATTTTTCATCATTGACTTGCTTAATTAAAAAAACTTGTAATTTTACCTAATATTTACATATAATATTTCTATTAACCTAGAATACATTCTTTTCTGTCAAAACTCATCTTCTTAGTTCTAGCATATTTCAAGACTATTTACATCTTAAAAAAACAATTTGAAGGGGGATGGATAATTATCAATAGCTATCTTTCTCATATTTGATCCAAAATAATTTCATCAAAATCACTGGTAAAATGTAAAACCAAACCCAAATAGGTACAGATCTCAATAGAATAAGAGAAATCTCTCCAGACTGATACCAAATACTTCAGCAAAGTATCAATGGTTATTAATTACAAGAAACATTACAAAAATAAGGCAAAACATCATCTAGGTTAAAAATCCTCAAGAATGTACATCTATACCTAATTTATAATCCTCCCACCTCACAAAAATCGTTTAGACCTTAAAGTAGCTTGAAAGCTATCTGAAGAGTTTACTAAACAATTTGATATCATGGATTTTTACACTTTAAAAAAACAAGCTTTTAGAAGAACTTTAATCCTTGTTAGTCACATTTATTTGCAAAGCTTTGCTACTCTCATTATAAAGAATTCTGAACTATTTATTAAAGCAAACACAATTACCTTCAGATTTTTCACTAATCGAAAGATGAATTCCCAACAATTTTTTAAGTTAGGGAGGTTTATTACTGTTTAATAAGTTTGCATCCATAAAACAACATTCAGAATATTCAGAAAAACTGAGCTGAGGGAGGTGGGTGGGGACTATTATCAAATATAAAGAAAGGGAAGATGAGAAAATAAAAATAAAAATACTTAGGGATAAGAACAAGCCAAGAGAATGCTGCATGGAATAGAAATCCAAAAATGAAGCTAGGAGTATATCTACATTCAAACACATATTTTTATCTATACTTCTTGAATCACTTTCAACGAGCACATTTTTAATTTACAGATTATAAAACAAAAAAACACAACAAAATAAAAACAAACAAAACTTGGGTATGAAATCCTGAATTACATACAGGTTACAGTCCAATTTCAGAAAACCTTAAGTCTTCCTTTCCTCTACTCAACTGAGGTTCCTCCAATAATTCTTCATGGATCCGAATATATTTTTATAGCTAAAAAGTACTTCAGATAATATGTATTCCAATTTTGTTCATGTGAAAAGTAAGGAATTATATAAGCCCAGAGGAGATAAGCTGTGAATTTATCCAATATCACAGTTAGGGGAAGTCAAAATCCTAGGTTTAGTGGTTTTCACACCTGTGTGCCCCAAAATTATTCACTTCGATAGTTCTAAATACAGAAGTCTAACATAAGATTCTCTGAAGAAGCATAGTCCGGTTTGGGAGACAGAGCTAGCTCACATAAAATAACTGGAAATGATGAAAATAACAGCAAAAAAGGGTATAAAAGCTTATAAGTTCTGTAAGAGCTGAAATTAAGTGTAGGGGGAAAGATGAGTATGAAAAAATAATGGAAGGCATGAGTCTTTGTGGAAGGCTTCTTTTTAAAAATTATGCAAAATGTCATGAAGTTTTATAAAATATTCCACAAAACAGACTCTACCCTTGTAGGGAGCTCAAGAATATTAATCATTTCCTATTAAGCTGCAAGTCAAAAGATTGCTTTAAGCTCTGAATCTCAGTTAAGACCTCAACCTTTTTTTTCCTCCTCTTCTAACAGAATACTACATTTTGAAAAGATGTTAAAGAGGGAATGAAGGTGGAGTAGACACAACAACAGATTGTGATAGCAGAGAAAGAATAAAGTCAGATGGTGGGAATTAGGAATTTTTTTTAAGAAACTAAAATCATTTTATGAACAGAGTACTGATAGAACTACCCTAGGATGGCCCTAAGAATCAAAAGGTAAACAAGCCTCAAATTAGAATAAATTCCAAGCAAGTTTGAGAAGAGTATTCCTTTATAAAAATATTATCCAAAGAAACTTAAAAAGAGAAAAGTAGTTTTTAAAAGTAAATATAATGCCTTAGGAGAAAAAAGCAAAACTGGCAGATACTATGCTGTAGTAATTGTTAATTCTTAAGTTTTGTTTGTCACTATTCAGAAGACTTAAAGAGAAGAACAGTAAGTTCCAAAGGATATCTACTGTACTTCACATTCACTTTCTCTTCTCCAATGTTAGTGGTTTTAAAACTAACTAGCTACTTTATTTACTCTTCCACTGAATTGGGACACTTTTTGCTTAATACCTGATAGTAACATCACCAGAGATTATTTCAAAGTGTATCCTCAAACTCTTGTGGGAGTCAGGAAAAACAAAAGAGCCCAAATACCTACAGGTTAAGTTTTGACATTTTTAAACAGACACAAAAATATAAAATACGTATATAACAGAAAAGACTAATCCTAGGTAATAAGCTAGTAGTAAAACATATTAAATTAGTCCTATCTATACTCAATTATTAAAATAGTACTTTATTCTTGCCAAATGGATATGAGCACTTTTACAAATGCCATTTTTTTTTCAAACTGTTTAAGTGGAAGTACACAAATAGTTGCCTTTAAATCATTCCTGAGTGCCTTTATGCAAATCATAAGAAGTTAAAGAAAGAACATCTACAGCAAACATTAGGGAAAAAAATAGCAAAACCATTAGCAAACGAGTCACTGGGTAATTATTATCTAAAAAAAAAAAGATGGAAATGGTCTCCAGCAAGGAACATAAACATAAACTGAAACACTATAAAATATTTCATTCTTACAAAGACAGGAATATTAATAGCTTGCTCTATTTTCTTTTTCTTTAATGAATGACTACAGGAAATAAGAAAAATTTAAAAGGACCATCTTACTCCATGAACACAAATATCAGAAACAAAAGGCAAATAATGGTCCAGGGAAATATTTTGCTATATTTTGTGTTATATTTTGAGTTCTCAATAGCAAAAAAGGAAATGGATTAAAAAAAAAAAAAAAAAAAGGAAAAAGGGTTACAAGTCCTTCCTTTGTTAATGCAAATAAAAACAGCCACCAAATATAATCTATGGAGAGGAATAGAAAGCAGAAAAGATAAAAACAATAAAGGACAGCATTTTACTAAAGCAAATTACAGTACAATTAACCATATGTTAATAACTTATATATTTAAGAGTAACAGCAACAACAGAAAAGCAAATAAGGAAGAGGAAACATGAACAAAAGAGTTGCTCATTTAGAGACTTCCCAAGTTAATATTGTGAAGTATACCTTTGAGGGAAATCCACGTTTTCGGCTATATTTCCTATTAGGCCTCAGTTCCCTGTCATTCTGAGGAGGTCTGTCAACTTCCCCTTTTGGACTTGTAGTAACGTCAATGTCTGAAACCTGTTCTTGTGAAGCTGAATTCCCTAGTTTGTCCTCAATGCACGGCCGAATTCTCAGACTAAAAGATGCCTCCTTTATTAAATAGTGTAGCATATTAATTTCTTAACACAAACTTCTGTTTAACATACAAGCCAGCCTTGTAAATAAATACAAAAAATTTACCAATCCATCTTTTTAAAATTCAACCCACCCTCCCCCAAGTGGCAATAAACTTAATTAAGGTTTTTAAATTTCTGTACACTAGACTATTGCTCCTTGTAATTAAGTATCTTATCCTGGGCAATTCCCAAGCTATACAACTGCTGAAGCATATTTTAACATTTATGCTGCTATTAATCAACTTTCATAAAATCATGATTTTGTTATAAAACATTATCTTCACAGTGAACACTATATGTGCTAGTATATAAATTGTAATAATCAACCTAGTATATAAATTATAATAATCAACCTATACCATTCTCCACCCTTCCCCAACGGCATTCCTTTACCCACACGCCCTCAACCCTTCCATTTCTGCTGGAATGAAATGTGAGGAAGAAATTACTTCCAGCACCACTGGAAATAGTAGAACAATTTCCCCACAGTAGAATTCATTCTTCAACAACTGTTTGGATCAGCCCTTTTGAGTATCTCCTGGTGAAAATAATGTAGAGAAAAAAATTCAAATTTCCTCTTCAAATTAAGAAGGGCAGGAAAGAGAAAGGAGGCAGATAAGAAACTATGCATGTCCATACTAAAAGGAAACAAACCCTCAAATTCCTAATGCTGAATGGTATTTGGAACATATCTCAGAAACAAGAGATAGACGTATGTTGTTATCCTTTCACAAGAAAAGTGATTACTGTTAACAGGTTTTCAAGTTTACGAATGCATGGTTATAGGTGCATCTGTTACGCATAAAATAAAAATACTTAAAAGCAAACTTGTTTCAAAGCATACTAATTTCTATGAACTAAGTTTATTTCATAAATCTTTCTTCAAAAATAAATTCCTGATTATTTTTCAAAAGACGTATTTTAATAAATTTCATTTCACAGAATCAGAAATTATAGTCTTTTTCTCACTGAGACTAAATCACAATGAAAAATGCTATCTTGTCCCATTTTCATCTCAATTTTTCAGTCATCTGATTTGCTAGTTTTAGGCTAGCCTGAGAAATAAAAAATCCTAATAGCCTTACAGTGAGTCCTCAGTGACAAATGAACTTAGAGACTTTTCCAACAGACAATATGCTAAGCAATGATGCTCTACGCTTACAGCTCTTATATCCATGATGAATGTGAACGCTCCACTCCCTATGCTCCTCAAAATGAGTAATGCTGTGCTTAAAGAAACAAACTAGAAAAACCATGTTTATGTAAGCTGAAGATTGAAAATTATTAGATTTTAAAATCAACTATTAAAACTATTTTTAATGTTAATAAATAAAACTTTTAACTTCCATGTTTAAAAAGAATATAGTCAGCATTAATAATGTGAGGGTTTCTTCCCCAAAATGCACTTTGCATTAAGGAATGCCTATAAAAATATCATCCTAAAAAATGGAGGACAAGTTTAAGCCTTCATTTCTAGCACTGGAATACCAAAAGGCCGCTTACCGTGGTGTCTGAAGCCTCAGACTGCACATCTATGTTTAGCGATGTGCTCTCAGCTACAGAACCCGATCCCACAGCTGAATCTACAGTCCGCACATCCTCCTCCTCATTTTCTCTAGCCTGAAATATTTCAGTGGTACAAATCATACAACTATTAAAAGGCAATAAAATGTTATCATGGACGGCACGATTTTCTGAAAATATATCAATTCCTCTGGGGTGGGTGGCATCAGAATGTCATCAGTACATATACACTGATAATAACTTCATACATTACTTAAAAAGTCTAAAAACTTACAAGGATCTTTTGGAGAAATTTCATATATGACTTTTCTTGTTCTTTAAGGTGGTCTATTAGATGAGTAAGGCGCTCAACATTAGCAGATCTTTCATTTTTCTCTACAAGGTCTTCCCGCATGGAACTAGCTTTAGTAATATAGTCACGAATTTGAACCAGCCTGCTTACAATCTGCAGAGGGAGATATTTTTTAAAAAGAACATGAGAGTAAACAGTACGTAAAATTGAGAATAGTTCATTCAACAGCAACAATTTTATAGATTTCAAATTTCAGATATAACAACAAAAGATACTTCTAATTATTGTGTGAATTCATACATGCAAAAGATCTGAATCAAATTTAGAATTTAACCAAAATATAACTGACAACAGTAACAGCTCCAGTTAGTATTAATTTTAAAATTTCAAAATTAGATTTCATCTACATTACAAAAAAATTTTATTTATAGAACTGTATACAAACTATTACTTATATAATTTTTTCCTAATGTTTATTTATAAATTTCAAGTAGTATATTTTTGAAAGCACTTTTTTAAAAGAATCATATCATCATTTAAAATAATTCTTACAATCCATTAATCCCACTGTTCCCAACTCCCCTTTACTAATAATGGTCAATATTGCATTTGGCAGATAAACAGAAGCCTTGATTCACCTGAATATGTCATTTCTACAGTCATTTTGGGTAAAAAGAAATTCACAGTATTTTGAATAAATGTGATATTATAGATTAATGAGGGTCAGGGAGGTACTTTAATTCTACCTAACTAAAATTCCTATATGCATTACTTAATTTAATTTTTTTATGTTAATGTTTACACTTTGAGGTTTGTGAAAGCAAAGAGTAAAAAATAAAAAAAACAAATTTTATCACCTGGCTGCTGTCCATTGCAGGTTCTCCTCTCCCATCTTCTTCAGAGACTTGACAGTTTTGCAAAAGTTCATTACTTAAAGCAGAAGCAAACAACTCTTTACATTGTGCTGATCCAATGACTTCTCTTTTCTGAGGACTCGTAGCAGCATCTTTGCTCTTGTTAGTGTTAATCTGCATAGGCAAAAAGTTGAAGGGCTTTCGGTTCTCGCTAAGCTGACGTTTGTTGTTAGCAGCTGTTGCTCTACCTTGAGAATCACTTCCAATGCTTCTCTATATATAAAAAAGAAACCAAATCCACAAACATTACTCTTCCAATAATTAAAAAAAAAATAAGATGGTATACTTAGTTTCACCATCAGATACTGATTCAGGAGGTGTACATAAACAGCTTGTAGTAAGATTTGAAACAGCTTCAGATGTACAAAATTCTATTAAAATATCAAAATTTGATTAGCACTTCCTATTTCTAATTTTGTCAGACAATTCAACTGATGAATATGAGCAAGATTAGTGTAAATGAAGTACTAAGACTATGGACCATATTTATAACTCAGTGCTCGTCTTATTTGTTCACAGAATTTTATATAGGCTTTAGACCCAATGAATCAATGTTAATTAATATGAACATCAGCATAAAGATGTGTCTTTATGAAGCATTGTCTGAAAAAGCACTTAGCTCAGCAACTAGCATATAATATTAAATGTTCAATTATTAGTAAATAGGTGACTAAATGATATATGATCATCATCTTCACCATATCAGATATGATCTAACTTTATCCATATTTGGAAACCTGTTTATCTTTGTAAAGTACAGATGTGATAGTAAATTATCTATTAAAAGTTCATTACCATTTCTACTTGCTCTTAGTTCTAAACTTTATTTCAGTGATTAAATACAACCATAGTTTAAACTTGAGATTATCCAGCACATTCCACACTGAGCCAATGCTAAATATTCTAAACTGGATCTTCCTTTTTCCTTAATAGCAATCTTATTCAGTACTATCATGCAAAATTTAGTTTCATAATGAAATCATTTAAGTTAGTCATATGACAGAGTAATAAAGTCCAGAAAGGCTTGTCCTTAGCAACTTTAGAAATAAGACTCTGTTGCCCTTCAAAGAACACAGTACCATCACCACGGATTAAAATTCTTTTCATATGCACAGAAACTAAGAAAAGGAAATAAATATCTCAGTATTTTATTAAGACAAATTATTTCATCCATTTCAAATATTCCCCACGGTTATGACTTGATATTTAAAATAATTCACAAACCTGATCTAAATCACTGAAGTTTATCCGCTGTTTAAGTTTCTCTAATTCGGCTTGCTCTGGAACAGACATCTGAGTCATGTATCTACTATGTGGAAACGTATGCGGAGTCTTTGTCCTTCGCCTTGCAACTCCTGGTGATGACTCCGGAGAAATATCGTTAGTTACTCTCTTATCACTTTCTACACCAAACTTTTTCTTATTCTTTTCTGATGATCTATTTGCCTTCTTCTGTTGGCCACCCCAATCCTTTAAAAGAGTAAAGGCAAAATTCTTATCAAACCAGGAAAATAATTTGGTATGCTGATAAAAAATGTCAGTCAGTCTTAAAAATGAAAAAACACTGTTCACATACAGTCCTAGAGACAATTTATTGCTTCTACTAACCAATTTCCCATTATGTCTAGCCTAAATTTCATAGTGTCCTTCAAAAAACAGATTACTTTCCTTTTCATAGATCATTAACAAATAAATGTAAACCCCCAAACCCCAACTCTAGAGTCAGTCTGAATATTTTCAAAAGCATTTTTAGAAATGGTTCTTTACTGTATGTAAATTAAATAGTGAAATGAATTATAGATACCTTTACTGATCTCCTTTAAAGTCACTATGTATAAGAAGAAAACAGATCTATAATCAATCTGGGTTCTAAAGTAACCTGTTTTCTGAAAAAATGCTCCACTGTGTGACCCAAGGCAATTAATTTAACTTGCCACAGTCTGTTTCCTAATCTATAATATACTGTCCCCTTTAAAACACAATTTCAAAAAGCATACATAGAAACACAGTGCCTAGTATATGGTAAGTATAAACATAACTTATTATTTTTTATAAACAATGTATCACATAAGATCTGATAAAAAGACTTAATGTTTACCTAGAATACATTTTTATGTACTTAATTATACCCACATAACCTAACTCATTCAACAAAAAAGTCTATACATTCCCACCAAATAATTTTTTTAGCCTTTGCTAGTAAAACCTTTGGGATATTTTCCTCATTTGTAAAACTCCCTTCTCTACAAACTGTCCCTCTACCTCAACCCATGTGTGCGTGTTCCTGCCAACCTCCTGTTCTACCTACCCAACCCCATCCTAGCCATGGCTGACTGAAAAAGAGATGCACATCTAATTCAAATTGGGATAATCACATTCCTTAGAATTTCAAATTGTAACTAAGCGATAACCAGTCAGTATATAACCGCAGCCATAACTGAAACCTTTAGAAGGGCAGCTACAGTAAACCATGTGGACCAGGGAAGAAAGCCGGTCTGTGAAGAAAAGGTTGTGTTAAGCAGAAGCACTCAGAAGCAGAGTCAGGGTAGTAAAAAGGTAATTTTTAACAACCTTCTAGTTCCTTTTTCTAGTCCTTTCCTAAAACCCAGCTTTATTCAATTGTTTTGCATAAAACGTCGTTATATCCTTATTTAAAAAACTTCCTTTTTGGTTTAAGCTAACTCAAGTGATATCTGCTACCTGCAAACAAAAATATCTTCAACTAATACAACAAATAGGCCCAGCGTCATTTAATATCTTGGCCAGCAAGTAAAAATGTGTTTACTTTACAAAGAGTTTCTGTGAGTTCGATATGGCTAAGTCAAGGGGAAGTTGCAATTTCACACTACTTGTCAACAACACACTACCAATAAGATATCATACCATGTTGTTGAGTCGGTCGTCAACACCCTCATTGGTCCAGTTTGGTAAATCCTGGTCATTCACACTTTCTTCAAAAGGACCTCCTCCTGTGGCCATACTGGCTTTAACAATTAATTTTCTGTAAAACAAGTGAAAACCAACCATTTAACACGTAAAAACGAACTCTAATTTTTAAACCATTCCATGAAGCTTAGCAATATAAAGGAATCTCAGAAAACTTGATTTTATAAAACAAAAAGAGGGACTGGGGTCTGGCCGAGTGGCTCAGTTGGTTAAGAGCGCAAGCTCTGAGCAACAGGATCACAGGTTCGATTCCCAAATGGGCCAGTGAGCTGCCAACAGGCGGCAGGATGCCTCAGCTGGTGAGAGCACGTGCTCCTAACAACAAAGTTGCCGGTTCGACTCCTGCATGGGATGGTGGGCTACACCTACCCGCAACTAAGATTTAACATAGCACCTTGAGCTGAGTAGCTGCGAGCTGCCAACAGGCGACAGGATGGCGACTGGACTTGGAGCTGAGCTACATGCGCCCTCCACAACTAAGATTGAAGGACAACAACTTGGCTGTTCCCCTTCCCCAATTCCCCAACACTGTTCCCCTCCCCCAATTCCCCAATTAAAAATAAAAATAAAAAGAGGCACTGTCAACCACTCATCACAAGCAAATTGATTTAGCTGTTGAAGGCATATTATGATTTACATGAGTTCAACAGCTGGAGTGATGGTGAGGGGAAGGCAAACCTCGGAATAGACACTAAGTATACTGGCCTGCAAGCTTTAAGATTATTTTATTTTATTTACTCAATACGGTCCTTAAAGGTAAGGAGGCAGGAAAAAGTTATTAATAGCTAGAACCAAAAGTGCTCTTAGAAAAGAACCTAAAGACGCCCTCCCTTGCCAAAGACCTGGGCATTTGCTTTGTGTCAAAGATTCAGAAGGCAAAACTGCTCTGCATGAAACATGGAGAAAGGTTTGGTTTCATAAGGAAATAATGTAATGGTAAGCAAGATGAGGAGACGGCAGGAAGAAGTAGAACTAAAAAGAATAGTGGCGAAAAAACACTTTAAAAATATTGGTGCCTACTACCCTATTTTATATTGTAGTGCTGAGGATATGAAAATCAAGGAAGATACTGAATTTCATACCTGGGTCAAAGAGATGAGAAACAGAAGCAGTAATGGTAGAAGCAGAGGTTCAGAAGCAGAGATGATCATGAGAAACTAATATCTTTACATATCTGGTGGAAGACTTTGGATTTCCACTGGGTATGGAACTGCACAGGTTGGAAGACTGAGTGAAAAAGGAGACGGTGAGATAACTTTTATGATTCAAGGGGGAGGGAAGGTCCTTAGACATCAGGGTTATAATAGATTTCTCCTTTTACAAACAATAACACTAACATTCAAAGAGGTTAGATAATTTTGCCAAGGTCATTCAGCTTAAAATGTCGAAGAGTAATACAAATCCCAGATGCTTTGATTCTAAGATCCTACTTTACACCATTCACTAGAGCACAACATTAAAATGATTATCATCCAGCACAAAGTAGTACTTATTCCATGGATGTTTTAATGCTAGGATATCTATTAGAATAGTATATTAACAGATGACGTAGCAAGTTCAATTTTATCATCTCAAATGTCATAAAAGTCAACACTTCAAATTTGAAAAAAAAAATCGTAAAAAGTACAATACATTGACACTTCCTTATAATTATATGTATTTTATACTGTTTGATTTTTTTCAAGGAGCATATATTACTTTAATAAGTTTCTACAGGGCCGACCGAGTGGCGCGATGGTTAAGAACTCGCTTGGGATGCCAGAGGGCCCCGGTTCGGATCCCACATGTGAGGGCCAGTGACACTGCCCTCCACAGCTAAGATGCTGAACAACAGCTCAGCCTGGAGCTGGGTTGCCGTGAGTCGCCGGCGACGGCATAGGCTCAAGCCCCTGTGGCAGTGGGTGGCCATGGGCTACCGTGTGTAGCCAGCAGCCAGCGTGTGTAGCCATGAGCCAGCGTGTGTAGCCAGCAGCCAGCGTGAGCGGCCAGCAGCCGCAGTGAGCGGCCGTCCAGAAGCCGGCGACTGATCTGCCTCGCCCGGAAAGAGCGCAATGATGGTGTCAACTTGGGCCAGTGAAGCAACGTCCTCCACAACTAGACTGAAGAACAAAACAACAGCAACTTGTCTGTTCCCCTTCCCCCAATTCCCCAGCACTGTTCCCATCCCCCCAATTCCCCAATAAAAATCTTTAAAATAAATAAATAAATAAATAAATAAGTTTCTACAGAGCTGAAAGAAGTATTGTTTTAAACCAATAACCAAAAATTTTAAAATAAGACATGAAGGCCATCTTTATTAAAGACCAAAACAAGAATGCCACGTATCAGTTATTTAGCACTGTTTTGAAAGTTCTAAAAAAACAGAAAATATGGAATATTTATACTGAAAAGAGAAAAGGTGGTATTTTTTTTTTAAGATTTTATTGGGGAATTGGGGGAGGGGAACAGCGCTGGGGAATTGGGGGAAGGGGAACAGACAAGTTGCTGTTGTTTTGTTCTCCAGTCTAGTTGTGGAGGATGTTGCTTCACTGACCCAAGCTGGCACCATCATTGCGCTCTTCCCAGGCAAGGCAGATCAGTCGCTGGCTTCTGGACGACCACTCACGGCGGCTGCTGGCTGCTCACGCTGGCTGCCGGCTACACATGGTAGCTTATGGCAACCCACTGCAGCAGGGGACTGCAGCCTACGCCATCGCCGGCGACTCACGGCAGCCCAGCTCCAGGTCGAGCTGTTGTTCAGCATCTTAGCTGTAGAGGGCAGTGTCATTGGCCCTCATATGTGGGATCTGAACCAGGGCCCTCTGGCATCCTAAGCCAGTTCTTAACCAATGGGCCACTCGGCCAGCCCAAAGTGGTATTCTTAAATAAGATGCATTGAAATACCTAGAGAACTTGAAAACGCCACCAATGGCCTCTTAGAAAATATACCATGGGAAAATAATGCCACTGTTCCCCAAAAAATAAAGTATCTAGGAATAATATTATTTTGCTCTATGTGAAGCATTATGAAACTCTAAAAAAAATAATAAGAGATAATTTTAATAAGTAAAAAAACAAACTACCTTTCCTGGTGAGAAGACAAATGTAAACACCATTTTTTTCCTAACTGTACAAGCTTATTCTGACAAAGGAAGTCAGAATAAACAAGTCAGAAAAAAAATTTTAATATCTGAAAAATAAAAGCAAGAGTAGCAACAATAGAAGTTGGGAGAGTAGAAAATTAGTTCTAAGATATTCAACCACATTGAGTGACTACACAGTTAAATTAGTTCCGCCCGAAAAAAATCCTCAAATATACCCAACTAGAAAAAAGAAATGAGAAAAATGAATTATATCTAACATCTATATGTTGGTTATATATATATGCCAAGCACCATGCTAAATATTTTATGTGCATTTTATCAATTAATCCTCACAACTCTATAATGTAGGATTATTTCATTGATGGGACAATTTGCTAACAATTTTGAAAAATATTTCGAGTTTAACAGTCTTTTTTAACTGGGATTCTTCATTTCAAACACAAAAATGATCTGAATGACTATTTTTTCAATTCTTCCAAGGATGGTACATACCAAGTACCATCCCAGGCACAGAAGAGGAATTCACAGTAAACAATGGATGCCTTAGAGCATAAGAGTTTAATTCTCGCCAATTGAAAAAGGCCGCCTTATACCATAAACAGCAAGATAGTAGATAAAAAAATATTTTAAAAGTCAAAGAACAGACACATAAAAAAATAGAATGGACTTTAAAAAGAGAGATCTGACTAATTTGGAATGCAGAAATAAGAAGGAAAAAACTCAACAGATTTTATTCACATAAAAGTGAATCCTAAGTACGCTCAAAATAAACAGTAAATGACAAATTGGGGGGAAAAAACTAAAAGAAATATGAAGTATACAGTTACTATCTTTACTATATGAAGAATTTGTTAAAAATAAATAACACAAACAAAAACGACTAAGCAAAATACCCAAGAAAAATAAGTATGATAGGGCAATTTACAAAGAAATCAGTAAACATAAAATGATACAATATTAATAATAGAATCCAATAGAAAATTTAAATAAGGGACTATTAAATTTACTCAGTGTTACCTAATCCTAATGACAGCAAAGGGAAGCCAGAGGTCTCAGTCACTATGATGAGAATGTAAACTTATATAACCTTTCTAAAATGCATTTTGTCAATACTGTATCAAGAATTAAAACTGGGGGCCGGCCGAGTGGCGCATTGGTTAAGAGCTGGCTTGGGACGCCAGAGGGCCCCAGTTCGGATCCCACATATGAGGGCCAGTGACACTGCCCTCTACAGCTAAGATGCTCAACCTGGAGTTGGGCTGCCATAAGTCGCCGGTGACCGCACAGGCTGCAGCCCCTGCTGCAGTGGGCTGCCATAAGCTACCGTGTGTGGCTGGCAGCCAGCGTGAGCGGCTGGCAGCCAGCGTGAGCGGCCAGCAGCCGCTGTGAGTGGCCAGCAGCTGCTGTCAGTGGCCGTCCATAGGCCGGCGACTGATCTGCCTTGCCCGGGAAGAGCACAATGATGGTGCCAACTTGGGACAGTGAAGCAACGTCCTCCACAACTAGACTGAAGAACAAAAGGACAGCAACTTGTCTGTTCCCCTTCCCCCAATTCCCCAGTGCTGTTCCCATCCCCCAATTCCCCAATTAAAAAGAAAAAAAAAATTAAAACTGAGTTTTGACTCAGTAGCTAACCTAAGGAAACAACTTTAACCTTTTTACCGCGTTAACTGATTTCAAGTCTGTTCTCCAAAATGTGTCAAAAATCCACAGAAAATAATTACAGTATTTATATTTTTCAGTAAATACAGTTAAGGTGCTACGTTTTATTAATGTCAATTGTTACTTAAAAATATAAAAATTTCCTGTTGTTTTTCATTCTTGAGAAACACTAAAATATAGAAAAATGTACATCTGCTTTCCTAAACTTCCTTTCTGGAACACTGAGCTTGAGGGGTAAAGTCGAATGCCATCGTCAGCGGCATGGAAATATCATTTCACTATAGACGAACGTCACAGCGAAAATGTTAAATATGGAGGGGGCACTATAATGAAGTTGTTTATCATGCTGTAATTGTGGCCCATTGCAAACAAACAAAATATCAAAGGACAGGCTGAATGCTATTAGGCGACAGTACCCCATAAACACATAATTATGAAGGCTGAACAATACTGCCTGTGCTTATATCATCTAATAGCATAAAAGAGGAAAAAAGCAATGCAAAATTGCACACAGATTTTAAGAAAATACACATATACTACAATGCTTGTATGAAAGCAATTGTCAGTTACAGGGGTAAGAGTACGATTTTGCCTCTTTTTTCTGTCTTATCAATTTTCAGCAATACTTTACACTATTTTTTATACTATAAATATACTTAAGAACTTTACAAAATAATTGATACCCAGAGAGAAGTATGTCCAGTGAACTGAAATAACCCATTTTAAAAAACTAAACATTTTGCAACTAGGAGCTCAAAAAATACATTTGCAGTAGAGGTGATACTGTATTTAAAAGTAGTAAAAGCAAACTGTCTAAAAATGTGAATTGGAATAGAAATTAAGGTTATTTAAGTAAAAACTCTTACGTATCAAATTTTTTTTTCAAAACAGAGATTGTTATACTTTCTATCAGTAGAGTAATAAAGTTTACTTTAAGATAAATTTGTTAAGAACATATTTGGAGATATAATGTTTTATATTCTATTTTTACATTATGATAAATTCCTCCTCAAATGAAGAATTTCTAAGGATCTATTTATAGGCTAATGACTAAACACTATTAAAATAAGTTTCTAAAACAATTTAAATACATTAAAATTAGTTTGGGGAAAATAGATCAAATATTTTTTCACTCTTTCTTAAAATACCATTTACTAAATAAAGTCTCTTAAGTTTATAAAATAAACATCTCTCTCTACTGCTATATTGTGACTGATATACAATGAGATAGTGTATTTAACAACATAATGATACCAGATGTGTTTAAAAGGCACATCCCTATATAAATAAAATTATTAGCATGAAACTAAAGAAATAATTACATGTGGATGAATTCTCAATGTTAACATACAGCTGATTTCTCTAAGAGAGTAACTATCTCCCCTATAAAAGTTAAAAAATAAAGGCAAGTCGCTTCTCTCTTCTTCACGCCAACATCTCTAATCACCTCAAAGTCACCATCAAAGATATAGAACGTCTACATTCTAAATTTTATTCTGTAGCATACTAATATAAACTATCCAGGGCATAAGAAAAATGATTAGCTTTAGACAGGCAGAAAAACATCTCTTCACTGAAGCGGAAAGGGGAAAGGCGAAATTGGATAAGGCTGGTTAACAGATTTTTGTGGTTGGAAGTTCAGGGAGTTCGTAAGCGATATGAAGTAGAAAGAATTGTTGTTTAAATGTGAGAAGGTGAGATGGCAATGTCTGAAAGATTTAAGACAAGGGAATGACTGGGGAGCATTAAGGCCCAAGGTAAGAGCAGAGAACATTCATTGATGTCGCTAATCCGCAGTGTGAATTTCTTTTTCCCCAGCAGTACTCATCAGCCTTGGTATAATAAACATGCCATTGAATCCATCTAAGGTTGGGATTTTTCCAGGCAGGTTTAATAGAAAGACAATAAGATGGAAAAGGTGAAACCACTGGAATACAATTGGTGCAAGTGATGGATGATGATATGGGGATAAAAGAAAATTCTACTTTAAAAAATCACTTCTAGGCATCCTCTGACCTACTAAAACGTTGAAATTATTATACGTTTCATTTAGTTATTTCTGACAGCCTTATTTGGCCCTCTTATCTTACAAAGATACGAAATGCAAAAATACAATTTATCAGCTCCTTTCAGTGACTGATCTTTCTGAAGCAAATCCTGTTGCAGAATTCACTATAGAGAAGTGTTATATATATCTAAGTAGAATATCACAGCATTAATCACCATGAAAATACCTATGACTAAGGTTCACTTTCAAAATAAGAATACAAAGAGCTTCAAAGAAATTAAATTATCAAGAAAAAAGATTATTTTCCTAAAATCTTTGAAGTTCAGATATTTCTCAATTGCACTAAATTATTCATAATCATCTCTTCTCAACTGACCACTGTAAATCAAGGTTTTAAAACCAAATAAAACAACATATACAGTTTTTTCCTAAATATTTACTTAAGAGTCACAAATACCCAAAGTTGGCATTTTATGTATCTGTACAAATTTTCTAAAGGTTGCATTATTTGGGGTATTTCTTCTACTAATCATAAAAAGGAAATACTGCGTACACTGTTTTGAGTCTTAATGCAGTGTACAATGAGCACTTTTTATGGAAACTCAGGAAAAAATGCATTAAGTATTTGGTATTACATACATTCTCCATCTGTTCCCAAACATTCCTCCTACTTCTTTGGCTTCAATAAAATTCCAATCCCTCTGAAAGCACTATTTCCTTGGAAATCCTTCTTTAAAAATGCTACTCTTCCTAATCCCCCAGATTCATAGGGAAAGGATACAATCTGCAACCTTATTTATTTAACTCATGCTTAATTTTCCTCTTTTGAACAAATTAGCCATCAAAAATATCAATCCCCCTATCTTGGGCACCATTTCCCACTCTCCTCCCCAAGAGAATATTGCAATTTTGATAACCACTGGCTCATGATTTCACTCTCCATCCACTTTATTCCCTGCTTGCATGACCTGAACAATTGCAATGATTTTTCTAAAACTTTGTCCTCAATTCCAACATCCATCTCATCTCTCTATTCCAATCCTGTTTTCACTCTGAAGTGGTAATTTGTTCAAGATCTCGAACTTCTGAAGTCCCTCTTTCTGATCATAAATTCTTGCATTCTGTCTCTCTCATTGTCTCCTTCCTGCTGAATCTGTTCTTGACCCTGTCATTTCTCTCTCCAGGAATCCACCCAAGTAAGCCATACCAATTCTGTCAAGTCAATCCTGAATAAACCCCACTACGTGCTTTCTCTGCTTCTACTCTCAAACAGTGTCAAGCAGTGGGGGAACAGTTATAAAGTGGCACTGCCTATGTCCACCATCAGGTATACTAAGTTATACCACACACACACACACACACACATGAACCTTTTCAAAATGTAAGTTTACTCCATGAGGTAAGGCATCTGCTCTATTTTGCTCACTGCCATATCTACAGCACATTAAGTAGCATACGTAGGTACTCAATTAAATTTGTAAGATGAATGTATTGCTATGTATCCCTTGTTGGCTTCTTACTGAATTCCCTAGTGTGATAATTCCAAACGCTTTATATTTCTTTCCAAGTCTCAAATATACTTGCCTCCTTCACAAGAGCCAAATCCCCTATTGAGAAAACCAAGGTCTTTTAATGTGAGTTAACTCAATAGCCCTATGTTTTTATTTCATCTTATCCATCTTCCCTAATGTGTTAAAAGGAAAATTAGTTTATAACTGATTTTATAATTCTTATTATTTTACCAAATTCCTACTATATAATCTAGTGTTAAGAACGCTAATATATGCACTAATATTTGACCTTTGCCGAGTTCAATTTTTCTTGTTCTACTCTGATCCAGTCTTCCAATTAAAAAAGAAAATACTACTGAGAAGTATAAGATGTAAATCAACTGTCAGTCCTTATTTTCTCATGATGATCAGTTTATTTCATAATAGAGCTGAAGACCTATCTGCTTTCCTAGAAAGCAAAAACATACTGAACAATTTTTTTAATGGACTGTCTTAAAATTCTAACAGAACTAAATTCAGACTCAGTTTCTGAGATTTTCTTAAAAGAACAATTATTTCAAAAACTCTTTTAACAACAATTTCTTCTAATCCCCATTTTTAGTTATTTAATTTCTAAATTGTCCTTAGCAAACTTCAGTTTCCTTCAATGAATTTATATTGACTTTTCTGTTGGTCAGAGAATATCTTTACATAACCGGCATTTGATAATGACTATGCATAGAAACTAACGTTTAAAGTAATTTTATAAAGCTAAAAGCAAAAAAACCGCACTTCAGTCAATAGTATATATAACAACCTCAAAAAGTAAAGTTCGTAAATAAAAAATATGAACAGCCAATTAATAGAAAAGTTGTAGAAAATGACTTAAGATGAAATGATTTTGCTATACAAACAGCTGTTATAGGACAAATTCGAACTCAAATGGACTGAAAAAATTCTATGAAGACAAAGACATTTCAAAAGGTATTACATAAACTATTCTAGTATTTTATAATTAGGAATGGCATGGCTCCTTTCTAACAAAAGTATGAAGTCAGGCTAAAGTGGCATGCCAAAAAGCAGGGCAAACAGGGCAGCAAACCCAGATGGTGTGTTTACTAAGTAGAGGGAGCCCTCAACCATGCACTGGTATTTTGACAGCATTCTCCATCGTAAAGTATTCTACTATAACAGGAAGGACAATACATATATAAAGACATCCAATTACCTGTTAGAAACTAGTTTTTGCAGCTCAGAAACAGCTCTTTTCCTGCTTCACACTTCAAAGCTGTTGCCTGCATTTGATTAAAACAAAACAAAACAAAAAAAACTTCAGTAAATTATTTACACTTGAGGTATAGAATAACAAATACTACTATATTTATAACCTAAAATGTTTAGAAAATCAACAGAAAAGAAAAAATCCAGTATTTTAAACTCAAGCTACTTTAACCCTTTTGAAAAACAATGTGATATATATAAATGTTTAAATCCTCCAAACTTGTAAGAGCAAACGTGATACCTACTTTGGAAGGTAAGGCCAATGGTTAACTCTAATGATCACGTAAAAATCCATGCCAAAGTTTACTCTTCCGACTGATCAAGTCATTACCTTCCTATTCACCTAAACGATTCAAGAACTTTGTCTATCCCACGAAGAAAATAAGTTTATTTATTTAAAAGCTAGGTTTCATAATAACCTTGTCACTACACAAACACAAGATTTGCCTTCTGCTCAACTCAGTATTTTAATGGTTTCTTTCCAGTGGCTCCCACGGGGAAGGTGATAGGGAAAAGAAAGGAGCAGGTGCACCGCGAGCTCTGCAACACCCACTCCAGTAACTAGAGAATACCAGTAGGCGGAGTCTGGAAAGCAGTTATGGGGTGGGGGTGGCAGGGGCGCCCAGAAAGCCCGCTTCTTCCAGCGCCAAAACACGATCCGTCACCGGTAAGGCACAAGACACAAACCTCAAACCGGCTAAAAAAAATTTTTTTCTCCCCTAGACAAGGCGAACTCCTGAGGCAGCGGGAAGAAAAGTTTGGAGGACCCGCCTCCCTAGCGGGGCCTACTACTACCTAATCCCCAAACACCAGTTTCTGCAAAGCAAGCAACGTTTTCCAAATCCCATCTGGCGTTTAGTTTTCCCCATACTAAGTTCATTCTAACTGGACTGCAGTATGGGATAGGGAAGGGGAGAAATGGGACGGGGGTAGGTGAGAGCTATAAAATTAACATTCCCCTCGCAAGTATAAAGCCGCACTTAGCCCAAGTCAGGAACGCCTCCCGCGGCTCTTTTGCTCTAAGGATACCCGAGACAGCAGAAATCCCGCAGCTCTAACCCAAAAGTCGCGTATCTCCTCACCCGCCCTTCCTCACCCGAAATTCTGGACATTAAGAGCCCCACAGAATGGAGTTTGTGGGGTGGGTGGGAAGGGGCGCAATGATGGAGACTAGCCACTAAGGCTCCTCGTTATGGAAAAATAGATCCCCTGCCTCTGGCAACCAAAACCCCAACCCCGGCTCCGCTTCCTCCGTTCGCAAGGCACCCGGCGCAGGACGGCCTCCTCTCCAAGGCCAGAAAAATAGAGGGGAGGGGAGGCAAGAAGAGGTGTCTGCAGTCGCTAACGAGTGTCTAGATGCTCACCGCGAGATCGCGTCGGTCAGTCCCGGGGAGGGGGCGGACTGTCTGCTAGGGAACATGAAGCAGGCAGCAAGAAGACCCAGGAGCCCACGAAAACGCGTGGGCCCGAGGCCAGGCCCTACAGGGTCAAGTGTCCCAGAGCCGTTGCTCTCCCGCCGCTGCGCGCCGCACTGCCCTCGGTTGCCAAGGGCTGGGGACGCGCAGGCATTACCTGTAAACGAAGCAGCCGCTCCTGCCAAGGGCGGAGTAGCGGTCAGCCCCCACGACCCGCCACCGACAGCGGTCCTCCCTTACAGACCGCGGCAGGGAGAGTCTACACGTTCCCTGGCTGCCTAGGGCCCAATGGCCGCCTTCTCTACTTTAGCCAGTCGGCGCCAACCGCCGCAGCCACCGCCATCTTAGGATCTCATTGTGGTGGGAGAAGAGGGGCGGGGGGACTGCAGAGGGGGCAACGCGCGGTGAGACGTGCGCCGTCTCCTCGGCAACGGCCGCGCGCAGGCGAGAACTCCCCGCGGCCTAAGCCGCAGTGCGATCAACGCTGTAGACGGGAATCACGTGACCCGCCACAGTCTGTGGGATCGTCTCTGGCTCTGCAGCCAGACTCCAATTACATCCAACGAACATCCAGAGACAGACTACACATCCCAGAATGCCAACTCGACCCTGGGATATAAACTCCTGCCCTTCCGCCACGAGGGAGATGAATACAAATCCCAGCGTGCTGTGCGATTTCCGGCGCTGGTCGCGCTATGGGGGGCTCGCGGCCCGCGCGGAAGTGGATTAACCCCACCCCTCTTCACTGTCCCGCCACCCCACGCCCCTCCCCTTTTTGGAGGCTGGAAGAGCCCCGAAGGTGGCGTGCCTTCTTGTTTTCCGTGGGGGCGTCAGCTCCGGACCGTGCCGGAAGGAGGAGAAAAGACCAAAGACAGGGATAGCTCTTCTAGTCCCTGGCCACCCACGAAAGGATGGAAACAAAAGGGCCTTTACTATCTCGCCCTAGGTTTATAGGTGAAGGATAAAGCCACGGGAGTCAATGGGCTGGAAGTCGTATAGTTGGAGAATAATAAATGTTAATAATTAATATCTCCTTGGAGTGTCCAACTTTTTCCTTAGAAGAACCAGATGATTTACATCAAATTTAATATCGAGAAATTGTCTCTAAAACGAAATGCTGAATTCTTTTGCGCTCTTCTATCAGCAGCAGATTTTTTTTTTTAAGGTTGGTAAGTTGACAGGTTCTCTCGTAAAACAAGCAAAAAAACGCAACAAGGGGATAATTAAGGCTTCCGGTGTGCCCACCTGAAAAGTTAAAACACCAGTCAGTGTTACTTGAGTGTAAGGGCATTCTATTTTTAGACAGTTTGTAATTGTGGGACAAGTTTGTTTCAAGCAAAATAAGGAACGAAGAATGGAGAGACCTGTGTTCCGACAACAAATTCTTCTCAATAACCAACAGAAATTGTTCGCAAAACCAATTAATAGAACTCAATACATAATTTAGATGAATTAAGCTCTTGCAGCCTACTGTAACTTGCTCCTGTATGCAGTGCAATGATCTTGGACACTATTTTTTTGTGATGCATTTTTGTAGTACTTTCTGTGTGTCTAACATTGCTAATTAGGTAACAAAAATATAGCCCCTGCCCTTGAAGAAGTCATATTTTAGTGAATGATGAAGAAATAGGGTGTGATGTAAGTAAATTCTGTTTTGTAAGAAAACAAAGTGCTGTGGGAACTCAGAGAACAGAGCAACCAAGGATTAGGTATTTATTGTAGCCCAGGGTGCCCTAGAATGAGGCCATTCTAATTCCACCTCTCAGCAGCTCTAAGATCTTGGGCAAGTTACTTAACCTTTCTGAGCCTCGATTGCCCCATCTATAAAATGAAAGGAAGGGAATAATATTGCCTACCTTGGGATATTTTTTAAAAAGTAGTGTTTATTTTGTACAAGGCATAGGGTTAAGCATTTCATCTGTTGTGTTTTTCTTAATTCTCACAGCTGTACGGAAGAGATTGATTCTGCATTGGTTCCATTTTACAAATGAGAGGTTAAATAAATCACCAAAGCTCTGACTCCAGGTGGTAGAGCCCAGGTTTAAACTGAGGCCTACTGATGCCTTGGAGGGCTTTTTGATTAAATAAGTACTAGCAAATGGTGAGACCCCAAAATATTAGCTGTCATTATCATTATCATCATCACCATTTGTTTTATTTGAGGGGGTGCAAAAAATAAGTTTTCCTCCCACCTTAAGTTTTTCTTGCCGGGCTAATAATCAAATTAACATGAGACAGGTTAACAGGAGAAAATATCCAAAATTTATTACAGACGTGTATGCGGGAGGTACCACAGAATATTAGCCCCAAGGAAGCATTGGGCAGTTGAGGCTTACATGCCACTCTGGACAAAGGAGGAGAAGGCAGAGGCCTGGGACTTCAAAGGGAAAGCAGGCAATTTATAAGTAAGTAGAAAAAGCAAACGTGGTAAACAAATACTTGCTGGGTCACGCAGAAACACTGATATGCAGAAAGAAGTTCAATAAACAGGCTTTGCTAGATTTCTCCATTTGCTGCATTTAGTTTATGTTATGATGCTAAGTGATGCTCCCTTCCTTTAAGCAGGTTTTCCCACCTGAATTCTTTTAGGCGGGTAAGGGGAAGGATCTTCTTTCTCAACAACCAGCCTAAAATCGATATCCCAAAAGGCAATTTTGGGGTGGCAAAACTTTGGTTCCCTCATACACATAACATTTTTAAGTATGTTGAAGCTATTGTCATTAAAACAATTCATATGAATTCAAAAACATTACTGAAATCAGTATGGACATTGTGTTTTTTGAATTTACAGACCCTGAAAAATGTCAACACTATTACGTCTGTGGTGGAGAGAGGAGTCTGAGAAATTTTTACATTAAAAAGGGATCCTCAGGGCCGGTGAGTGGCGCATTGGTTAAGAGCTGGCTTGGGACTTCAGCTCTGAGCAGAAGGGCCCCTGTTCAGATCCCACATGAGGGCCAGTGACACTGTGCCCTCTACAGCTAAGATGGTGAACAACAGCTCAACCTGGAGCTGGGCTGCCGTTGAGTCGCCAGCGATGGCATAGGCTGCAGTGAAGCTGCAGTGGGCTGCCATAAGCTACCGTGAGTGACTGGCAGCCAGCGTGAGCAGCCGGCAGCTGGTATGAGCTGCCAAGAGCCACCATGAGCAGCCGTCCAGAGGCCGGCGACCCATCTGCCTCAGCTGGGAAGAGCGCAATGATACAACCAACATGGACCAGTGAAGCAACGTCCTCCACAACTAGACTGAAGAACAAAAGGACAGCAACTTGTCTGTTCCCCTTCCCCCAATTCCCCAGCACTGTTCCCCTCCCCCAATTCCCCAATAAAATCTTAAAAAAAAAAAAAAAAGAAAAGGGATTCTCAAACTCAAACATGGGCATTACTGATTTTAGCAGGGGACAGAGGAAAGTAAAAAACCAAAAAACTACAAAATTATCCCAGACTTCCAAAAAAAGGTAACATCTAACTTAGGAAAGAAAACTATGCAAATGATGAGTTTAGTACCAGTAGTGTATGAATATGGCGAATAAATAATACAGACAATAAGTGCTTTAGGAATTCAGAGAATGAGTATTGATAAAGTGTCTCAAAGATAATGATTGTTCCAGGATTTCTGTGTAGGATGAAATTGGGGGCAACTGTCTGGTGGAAATGTAGATGGGGAACATGAGTGGCCTCTAAGAGATACACATTGAAACTACATCTCAGTTTTCCACATTTAAGAACAATTTAATACATGTATTAAAGATGGAGGAGGAGGCCTAAATGGAAGAATTATGTTCAAGGAAAAGGAGCATACCTTCTACACAGATGATACATCCAGAATAAGCAACGGATAATGCAGAAACCAGACTAGGTGAAGTAGAGGAGAGTCATAGCGATGAGAGTCTTCACATGGCAGTGGGGGGTGGGAAGGCAGGAGCCGAAAACAAGGTTGATAAACAGGTTGGTGCCAAGCTAGAAAATCTTAAATGTTGATCTGAAGAGTTTGGGCTTTGTTCTGTAGATAGTGTGAAACCCATTGAGGTTTTAGAAATGGCAATGATATAATTGAGCTATTTTAAGACTTCAGTGGTAATGTTTAACACAAACTAGGGAAAACAGAAGAGATGGGCAAGACAAGGAGAACAGGTGGTAACTAGCATGAGGTAACTGAGGCCTGGCCTAAGGTAGTGGCAGAATGAATCAAGGAGTTGGATTCTAATGGTAAACAAAATCAGTGTCTCATGCTATGTAAAATGTCATTTGTGGGCCGACTGAGTGGCAAGTTGGTTAAGAGTTGGTTTGGGATGCCAGCTCTGAGCAGCAAGGCCCTGGTTCGGATCCCACATGAGTGCCAGTGACACTGCCCTCTACACCTAAGATGATGAACAATAGCTTGACCTGGAGCTGGGCTGCCGTGAATCGCTGGTGACGGCGTTGGCTACGGCCCCTGCTGCAGTGAGCTGCTATGAGCTACCATGAATGGCTGGCAGCCAGCGTGAGTGGCCGGCAGCTGGGGTGAGCTGCCAAGAGCCGCCGTGAGCGACTGCCTCAGCTGGGAAGAGCGCAATGATCACAATACCAACATGGGCCAGTGAAGTGACATCCTCCACAACTAGACTGAAGAACAAAAGGACAGCAACTTGTCTGTCCCCCTTCCCCGATTCTGCAATGCTGTTCCCCTCCCCCAATTGCCCAATAAAATCTTTAAAAAAAAGTCATTTGTTTCTATTATTTAATATTAAGTATGACACTGATGGGGTGGACACTTACAATATAACATTTTGTGCTATATTGTTTCTTTCTTTAATGTGTTCTGTGTGTTCTTTATCCAAAGATGGATTTTAAGCATGGCTAGAACCCAAACCCTTCCTTTGTACTTCTTAATGTCCCAAATACCTCGCAGGTTCATTTATTTTGATGTTCATGAATTTGGTCTTTGAGAAAACACTTTTTTGCAGTACCTAGATTTTACCTGCAGGTGGTGATAGAATTTAAAGGAAAAATCTTCACTGACCACTATATTATACTACTGTAACTGAATTTTATCATTGTTTTTATTATGTGATTCATGAGAGTATATGACATTTATGTAAATTATAAAGTACAATAATTTCACTCAAGAACCCACTACCTAACCTAAAACATAGAATATAATCAATATATTTAAGGGCCCCTGTGCTTTTCTTCAAACATATTTTCCTTCTTTGCAGACATAAATATAATTCTGAATGATATCGGTGTTATCATTCCTTAATTTTCCTCATATAACTGTATGTACATACCCCTAAATAATACAGTGTTTAGTTTTGCTTGTTGAAAACTTGATATAACTAGTATCATACTGAATATATTCTTGCTTGACTTTTCATTCAAAATTATGTTTTTGAGATTCATCCATGTTGATGGTTACAAACACAAATTCTATTAAGAGCAGAGTGTAAAATTAATTTGGGAATATTTCTATAATTCAATATAACTGATTTTATCTTTAGTTTTCATATTAGCTTTGTGGGTAACTTGATGAAAGAAGAGATTGACCATGTCAAACAAGAAGCTACTTGGAG